CAGCCCAGCTCTGGCCTTTGCAGCCATTTGGAGAGTGAACCAGTGGATGGAAAACCTTTCTCTCTGTCTCTCCCTCTCTCCGTCTATAACTACCTCTCAAATAAATCATAAAAATCTTTAAAAACTACCACCATCAACAACAACAAAATACAAATGGATAGCAGAAAGAAACATGCAAAAAATAGATCTGTCTATATCAACAATCACTGTAAATGTCATGGTCTAATTGCACCAATTAGAAGAGATTTTCAAAGTACACTAAAAAACAACCCAACAATATGCTGTCTATAAGAACAAAAAATGCATACACTTTAATAGTAAGTGGATAAGGTGAACTATACCATTGATATATACTTTTGATAATAATCAAAACACAATGGGAGTAGCTAATTGCAGATGGAGCTAACTTCAGAGTGTGAAGAGGTATCAGGGATAAAGAGAATTGTTACAAAACGATGGAGCAAGGCCTGGTGCTGTGTTGTAGCAGGTTAAGCCACCACCTGCAGTGTCAGCATCCCATGTGAACCCTGGTTGGATTTCTGCCTGCTCCACTTCTCATCCTACCCCCTGGTAATGCACCTGGAAAAGCAGCAGAAAATGGGCTTCTGAACCCACGTGAGATAACTGGAAGAACCTCCTGGCTCCTTGCTTCAGTCTGGTCCAGTCCTTGCCATTGCAGCCATTTGGGGAGTGAATCAGCGGATGGAAGATCTCTGTCTCTCCCTCTCTCTGTAACTCCACCCTTCAAATAATACAAATAAATCTTTTTAAAAAATGATGAAGCAGTCAATTCTCCAGGAAGACATAAAAATTCTTAATGTATATATACCTAATGATGGGCTATCTAAGTATATAAAGAAAAATTAAAGGCTAGGATAAGATGAGTCTGTTATTACATTTGGAGACTTTATCACCTCTGTATCAGAAATGGACACATCTACCAATTAGAAAATCAGTAAGGACATTGTTTTTGTTTGTTTGTTTGTTTGTTTTTGTTTTTGTTTTGACAGGCAGAGTTAGACAGTGAGAGAGAGACAGATGTAAATGTAAATCCCCAAACTATAACACTATCAAAAGAAAACAAATTGTTTTCTTCAAAACATTGTACTTGACAGTGATTTCTTAGATATGATACCAAAAGCACAGGCAAATTGCAAAAGTGGATTTCATGAAAAAAATGTTTCAAAAGATACTCTCAACCCACAGAAGGGGAAAAGGATTCATAAATCATAAATCTGGTAAGAAATTAATACCTTAAATATATATAGATCTCCTAAAATTCAGCAACAAAAGCAAATGATTGTGACTGGCGCTGTGCCATCATCCAGGGTTAAGCCGCTGCCTGCAATGGGAGCAATCAATAGAGTTGCTGTTTCAAGTTTTTGCTGCTCTACTTCCCATCCAGCTCCCTGTTAATAGGTCTGGGAAAGCAGCAGAAGATGGTCCAAGGGCTTGCGCCCCTCACCCACGAGGGAGACCCCGATGAAGCTCCTGGTTCCTGGTTTGTATCTGGCCCAGCTCTGGCCTTTGCAGCCATTTGGGGACTAAACCTGCAAATGGAAGACTTCTTCTCTCTCTGCCTCTGCCTTTCCCTCTCTGTAACTCTGCCTTTCAAGTAAATAAATAAATAAATCTCCTTTTTTAAAGCAAATTACTTACCCATTCAAAATGGACAAATTACTTAAGAGACATTTCTTCAAAGCCAAATTAAAAAGAGAAAGGAGAAAGTGAATATTTTAAAATGATTCCCTTTAACATGTGTATTTAAAGATTTTTCCCTTTTCAAGTATAAAGTCAAAATTTTGTTAAACAGAAATCAGAAATTATTTTTACTTATACACAAATGTTACCAGTAATAATCATAAATCTCTGGCTTAATATACAAATCTCTGGCTTAATATACAAAGCCTAAATAATTCACATCGAGGCTGAAATAGTATCCATTTTCAGCATGTCATAATAATCCTAATTGGAAAAGGTGTACATCTTCTTTATTTTGAATGTTAATGCTTGAAGAAACATAGTTGTCATTAGAGGAAGAATAAAAGAATTTCTATAGTACTAACATTGAAAGCACTTTATCATGTCAATTTTACTTAAAATAATTTATTTACATTTTGGGTAAAATTATCAGTAGTTCTGCTCACATATCCCTAGTTCTGCCTTTATCACGCTAGAGTGAGATAAAGGTGATTATTGGGATAAAGATAGGAGAAAATGGATAAGAAAGAGAAGAAAAGAAGAAAAAGTAGATCCTTTCCAAAATTGTAAAATATGAAATGGCAAAGATAAAAAGGAGAAAATAGTTTTGTAATTAAATATGAATTATGACCAATTGGAGAAAAATAATTGATTAGAATTTGCTAATTTCTGAGTGTTAAAGAAGAAAATTTGGTTATGGTCAATACAGTTTCACCTGAGAAGGTAGATAATAAGAAGAGACACCAGATTATTTTTCCATGGCAATTCCGGATATCATTGGTTCAGAATAACCTGCTTTAAAGATAGGTAGCAGGATAGAAAGAGATGCTACTTTGAGGCAGACAGTTCCAGGGGATTCACTGAGCAAGGATCTGCAATGCTTGTGCCATAGATCAGATCTGCATATATATTTATATGTCTGTGTTTAGTATGTGTCATTTTACATGTTTTGGTTGTGACATTAAACATTTTAGCAGCATAAGCCAAATATCAACTAAATATTAATTATTGTATGTGTTAGGTAAACCAAAATTACTATGTCTCCCAGTTTCCTACTTAGTTTTCTAAAACAAAATGTGAGCACTGTAATTGTTATTTGCACTTTTTTTATTTGAATATCAGATGTAAAATTAACAGCAGTGAAAAATAGAGAATTACATGACATAATTTTGTAGCACAAGTGGAAAATGATCTCTCGTATTAGGAGGAATTGTCTGTTTCTTCCTTGATTCATTTTTAAAACTGTATCCTACACAAAGAATGTTGTTTCAAGCTCATTTATTTCCACTAGTATTTAGTACTCATTTATTTTAAATTTTATTAATATAAAGAGAACAGATTTTATGCATTTCATAGGTACAATTCTAGAAAAATAACCATACTTGTTCCCTCCTTCAATCCTTTTTCTCCCTTTTTTCTTTTTTTCTTTAATTTTTGAACAAACATGATTGCATTGTACTCTATAGTCACAGGCTTAATGCACCACTAACCATAATCAACAAGTAAAAAGAAAAAAAAAAAAAAAAGAAAAGCAGAGAGACAGCAGACAGACATCTTCCATCTACTGACTTACTCCCCAAATGCCTGCAATTGCCAGGGCTGGCAATTCATACATTTTCCACACAAAGCCAGAAGTACAGAACTTAATCCAGGTCTCCAGCATGGGTGACAGTGGCCCATCTAATTGAGCCATCGCCACTTTCTCCAAGGTTGTGCAGCAGGAGGATGCTGGATCTGAAGCAGAAGAGCTGAGACTTGAACCAGGCATTCTGATGCAGAATGTGGCATCCCAAGTGGTGTTTTAACTACTGTACCAAATGCCTACCCTTTGTTTTTATATTTTTAGACCAGTACATTAGACTGTATTTAAAAATACAACTAATAATGGTCTGGATTCCACCTTTAAAAAGTCTATTTTGTAAGTAATTTAATTTTTAATGTGATTCATTAGATAACTTCAAGTGTAATATTCTACACAAGTGTTTCTTGTTTTGGTATGATTTTCCTTTTTGATGAGATTTTAATACAATCATAGACCACATAGTCTCACTCTTCGCTTTCTTTTCTATAAAGAGTGTTGCAAATATTTAGAGTTCATACATAGATTTATAGAATTTTTGGAACTGAAAACAATCTTCCAGAAAATCCGGTTGAGAAGCTGTGTTTTAGATACAAGAACCAAGACCTACGATTAGCAACTAATAGCAATCATACCCTATTGCTTGGTGCAAAGTTGTCTCATTTTAAATCCTTAGTTTTCCTGGATAGGATTTCCTGTCCTACTTGTGTTGCATCTCTAGGGTTGTTCACTCCAATATTCTTTGTCCTTCCACATAAAGAATTTTCATTCAAATATAAACTCATTTCCAGCTTCCTTCCGTTCAATTAGCATTGAACAATGTTATTAACGCAGCTTGAGTGTCTGCCTTTTATACCTTAAATGATTTCTGTGAGCATAAAGATTCCATGTAAAAACTATGAAAGTTTTGTGACATGGGTCACAGTCCTCCTAATATTGGCCTGTAATGTTTTAAATCTGTATTTGCTGCCATGAATGAATTGCCAATATTTAAAAATTCATAATTTTCTACATAAATCTTAATATTTCTAGTTCTCTAATAAATTTCATAAATTTCACAATGTGGGATGGCCTTTTCTAATAGTAGCAAACCCTTTACATAGAATTTTTTTTTTTTTTTTTTTTGACAGGCAGAGTGAACAGTGAGAGAGAGAGAGACAGAGAGAAAGGTCTTCCTTTGCCGTTGGTTCACCCTCCAGTGGCCGCTGCGGCCAGTGCGCTGCGGCCGGGGCGCCGTGCTGATACGAAGCCAGGAGCCAGGTACTTATCCTGGTCTCCCATCGGGTGCAGGGCCCAAGCACTTGAGCCATCCTCCACTGCACTCCCGGGCCACAGCAGAGAGCTGGCCTGAAAGAGGGGCAACCAGGACAGAATCCGGCGCCCCGACCGGGACTAGAACCCGGTGTGCCGGTGCCGCAAGGCGGAGGATTAGCCTAGTGAGCCGCGGCGCCGGCCTTCTTTACATAGAATTGTACTTTCCCATCACTGCTTATGGATTTCCCAACCCTTGTCCAGGTGTTATAAGTCATTCATCATTTTATGATCTGTTTCTTCTTTAGTTTAAATTGAATTTCTTGATGTCTATAGAAATTTGAAACTTTGGTTTCTATTATCTGAAAGACATGAAGATCAGGACTGGGGGAGATAGGTGTATGCCAATGCAAAAGAAGTTTATCAGATAATGGAAATGATTGACTTGTTTTCAAATTTGTTTTTCAAGGCAAACATGTCACAGGTAAGGCAAGTTGGATTGCTGGCTGCTGGATGTCAGCCATGGAACAAAGATGTGTGTGCTGCCAATGGAGACAGGTTTGCATATTGTGCTACCCTGGCAATCTATATTTATCAGGTAAAATAAAACTAATTATTTTTAAATTATAATAGATAAAAATTAATATTTATTCAACACTTACAGCCCTTATCATGTGAAAAGCATAATGCTGTTAATTTCACTGTATGTATATTTTCTATTTTTGCTGTTTATACTATATTGGCTTTATAAGTTACACTTCTAGAACCTGTTTATATCATATATTGTCAATTTTATATGAAAAGATTCTGTCAACAATTGAATAATTTGAGTAGTCTGTATAAATAATTAGAGTAAGTGAAGGTATGATATTTATTTAAGACAAAAGCCTTTATAACTATTGCAGCTGCTTTTTAAAATATCCTATGGGCATGCAATGATTTCTTAACAGTTCCCAATTTATACAGCTGATGACCTCTTACTAAATTTTTCCATATAGAGGTTCCATAATCATCATAAATCCAAGGCCATGCTTTCTCCTTAAACTCAGAGGCAATATATCTGTGTGACCAACTAACTTTTGATCTAAACCAGAAATGTGAGAGTTGTCTGAATTCCTCTTCTGCTCACATACTATAGCCTTGGTAAACAAGAGTGAATGGTTCTAGTATTTTGTATCTTCTTTACATCCTTCTCATTTAAACAAAAAGTCTTTACTACTTCTACTCTGCCTCTTTCTAATTTATACTTCAGAAAAATAATCATCTAATACAAATCTAAATTTGAAAAATTTTAATTACTAATCACACTTTAATAGTTTTAACATCTAAACTTCACAGTATAGTTTTCAAGATTTCTTGTGATCTTGCTATCTCTGTTTCTCCTTTCATTCTGTGTTCCCAATCTACCAAACTGATTGTATTTTTCCAGAACATCTTGGACTCTTTCATATATTGCCTTCGCTTACAGTAGTTTTTCAGTTTGCCTACATTGCATATCTGAAGAATATTTCCTCATCTTTCAGATCTCAGGTTAACATATATAAATACTCTTTTCTGTATTCTGCTTTTGACCCATTTTTATTTGTGAAGGACTTTATAAAGTAGACTGCTTCTCGACATGCTTCCGTTTACTAGAAGTGAATCTTCCCCATCTTTGAATTCTCAAATGCTTGCATACTCTCAGAAACTTAGTAGACATCCATTAAATATCTTAAATGAATTAGATGATTTTTTTTAAATGTATCTTAAAATAGCAACTCATTTGGGGTAAAAGTAAAAACTAATGTCTTATTCTCCAGTAAAATCCTTTTAATTATGGTATACTAGTTAATTGTTGGTACTGTCGTGGTTTACGAATATTTAAGAAATACTTTCATTGATCCCTAAAAGATAATTTTCCATAAAAACAGAGTAAGATTTTATGTAATCTATTTCAAGACTAGAAACATTCAGCAATCAAATTGTACCTTCAATTTAATGCATTCATTCACATTAGACAGCAGCAAGCCTTCTAAATGCCTGCTTTTTTCCTCCTATCTTCCCTTTTTGTACTCTACATTTACTTCCAAGCTTCTCAAACCCAGATTCTTCCTATAAGTCCTCTACCCTAGTTTTCAGTCCCTTTCTTTTTGTCTTTTATCTTGTTCTTCTATTTTTTATTTTGTCTTTTATTTTGTCAGTCAAGACAGACTAGTCCTCTTAAAGAGGTAAGCGTGGTAAGAAACTGAGTGGATGAAAGTAGAGACCATTTTTTCAAATGTGTATACGTCCAAATATTATGACATTTTATGAGAAAAATATTGGGAAGATTAAGTTAAAATTAACATAAAGGGCCTATGTCACTAAAGACTAATGCAAACAAAACTTATCCTGATTTAGAAATTAATGCAAGAAAACTCAGGTGACAGTTCATTATTGTATTGTATTGAAGTACCCTAACCATGGAGTAATTTGTGATCCATCTCAGTCTAACAATATAATCTCATAATTCTGAATTGTAAATATAAAGGAATGTACTAATAAATTGATACTTACAAATAGTTAAATATTCTATAGTGTACTTACAGATACTATATGGATAACTTGAATAGTATAGCCAGTGAAAGGTCACTGATGTGCAACATAGTTTCCTTGTATATTTTTTGTAATTATGGATTATTCTACTGAATTTTTAACTTAAATTGCAGGTTTTCCTATTAGATACATTCACAGTATGTAGCATAGGTAACTTAAGTTGCTAAATACTTTAAAACTCAAAAATTTATTCATTTATAAATATATAGCAAACATAAAATTACAGGCCAACTCAAATTATTTCTACATAGCTAAACAGAAGAAGACACCCTTGATACTGGATAGTCTTTAATAATGTTTTCATCCACAGTTATCCAAGATTACTGAAATTACAGAAAAAGAAAGTTGGAGAAAATAATTTGGTCATCAATTAGAATTTTATATATAACATACAGCTCCATTTGTAATAGAAAAAAGTGACAATTAAATATTAAATAATATAATAAGTGCCTGTTCCTTCAATAGTATTAATTGAATGTTTTCTACTGGCTAAGCAATACTCAGCACTAGAAATGCAACTATGAACAAACTAGGCAAATTCTTCTTTTGGAATGTAATATTCTTAGTAAGAGCAGAGAACAGAGAGAAGTGATAAAATGAGTAAACAAATTAGTAAATACTTCAGGAAGAAATTTATTCTACAAAGGCTGTAAATTTAGGTAATAAGATAGAGAGTCATGTTTTGGGAAGAGTTATGAATTTGGATAGCATGATCAGAAAACATTTCTCTAAAGAGATGCTTTTGAATTCAGACATGAGTAGGATTTTGAATAATCCTGGGAAAATCAGTAGTAGAGCCTTAGAGAACAAACAAACAGCCATTATAAGGTCGAAAAACAGAAATTTTGCAATATTAAAAATCAAGATTTTCAGAGTAAAAAAGGAAGAGGGTGTTGTGAAGTTAGTTTGACAAGATAGTAGAGGTTTGATCATGATAGGGTATTGTAGGTCATGTTAGCAGTAAGGATTTTACAGAAAGTGTATAGTTAATGAAAGTGTGGTATAATAAATATTTAATATAATAGGGATTTAAAAACTTGCAAAACACTGAAAGATTCCTTAAATGTTGAAAGGCCAGTGCATAAGAAAATGACATATATGTATAATCTAAGAGATATAATGCGATGGATCAATTAGGCCACTAACTAATGGAGGCAGGTTTACAAATAAAATAGAAAAAATAGGACCATTCATTTCATCTGTTAACATATGAAAATATAAAATAATGCCCCATCTGAAAGCCAATAACAGGAAAGCATCCATAATATCATTGCACTGGAAGCTTTGGGCAGCTTAATAATGTAATAATAAGCACTTGGTTTATTAAACCTAAATTTTTTTATTCTTATATAAGTGAAAAATCACATACCGATATTTCAAAACTAAGATTATTATCCCTTAAGAAGTATGTATAACTATAGAAAGATATAATAAAGCTCTGATTTGTCATGCATGTATAAAAGGAAAACATTTATTTTTACTTATTGTCACTCCCCCATTCACAGAGGAACGACACAGGACCCTGCGCTGTTCTTTTGTCTGCTCGGCCCTTCCCGGGTTGGCTGCTGACCCCTCCACCTCCATGGAGGGGCGGTTCCCCCTGCCACTTTCCCCACTTCCACGGGGGAGCGGCACACCGCCAGCCGGCTCTCTCGGGGGCTGCTCAGATGTTATGCGGATGTTCCCAGTGCATGTTGTCTCTCTCCTCCTTTATAGTCCTCTTCCACCAATCCCAACTCTGCTACCCACATGCCGAGCACGCTGCTCTCCTCCAATCAGGAGCAGGATCAGCTCCTGCAGCTTATCAGTCAAGTTGGCGAGAGGCAGCTGCGTAGAAGTTGTTTACTCCCTTTCAGTGCCATATTGTGGGAGAGCAGATGCATAGAATAAGTCTTAATTCCAGTAACTTAGCCTAGTCCAAGTTACTCCCCACACTTATTTTTAAAATTGATGTTTCATTTCATTTCAAATGGTTTTCTTCAGATGATTGAATACTCTTGAATGTAAACCGAGACTTGTAATGTGTTCATATCTTTCTTCTTATTGCTGAACTAATTTCACTTATGTATGCTTTGTGTAATGTGATTAGTAATGCGTAGTGAGTTGTCTAAAGAGGAGCACTAAAGTGTTTTATTTATATATTTTGTTTTAGTTGGATCACCGTTACAATGAATTCAAACTTCACGCAGTTATGTCTGAACATAAAAAAACAATCACAGCAATCTCTTGGTGTCCTCATAACCCTGATCTGTTTGCAAGTGGCAGTACCGATAACTTAGTGATCATTTGGAATGTTGAGGAACAAAAAGTCATTGCTAAACTCAACAATACAAAAGGTATACTTATAACTGGGATTTATTTTACTGAATAAAATACTTTCAATATTTCTACTGGTATTATTAGTTCAGGTTTTAAAGTAATGTTTTCAGACTTTCTAATGGTAACCTATGTAAGAAAGACATTTCACTGCATATCCTATAAGTGCACCAAACTGAAACAAGATTTTGTGAATTAATTGTCATTAGACTATATTATCAACCAAGAACAAAGTCAATACCAAACAATCTCATTGATGTTTAAATACAGTATGAAAATTTCCAAAATAAATATAAAAATGAGAAGAAATGATTTTAATAAGATTTGCCTATCCATTACTCTAACCCAATTTTTAATACATGGATAATTTTGTGCATATATTTGGTACAGAGATTAACTGGTTTTATGATTTTCATTTAAATTTGGTCAATTCCTACTTCAAGTGTTTGAATTTGAATAATACCATTAAATTATTCTATGTAGTATGTGGAAATCTTTACTCAATCTTTTTAATTTTTATTTTTAAGGTTTTAACAGGTTCAATATAGTTCATAGAAACATTTCCTGAATCTAGTGATATTACCTCATGATGATAAGATTGAATAATCATTGTTCTGCATTAAATTTGCATAATTTACTCCTTTTTTGAGCACATAATATTGCTCAATTGATTATGGTTTTTGGCTACTGCTGAATGTTTTCTCCATATTCAGCTTCAAAAATGAAGATTGTAAGTTTAAGATAGAAAACTGAAACAGGAGAATCTTACTGGCTATTATGTTCAAGATTCTTTCATAAGATTCTTCTAAGTGTATAGCAACAATATTCATAATTCATAGACAGTTATCCTGAATTTTTTCATGATAATACCTTTTGGAACCTTTAGATATATTCAGCATATTTAGCATATTGTGTTTTCCCTTGTCTTTTCAAGTTTAAAGAATGCTAAAAAATCAATAAATGCATCTATTTAAATATATACAGTACAAAAATATATATCAGTGAAATTGACATATTGAGATTTAATTATTGTTTGTAGCCTTGTCTATATTCCTGAGGAATTCTGGTCTTTCTACTTACTACCTTACTATCCTTATTTAGTGGAGGATTAAGATTGTAATTATAAACTAAATTGAAAGAATGTCATCAGAAAAATAAGAAAGAAAGGAGGAGAATGGTTGGAAAGTATCATTATGTTCTTAAAATTGCATATATGAAATACATGCAATATATTACCTTTATATTAATTATTAATTAATTTTAAAATGTAGACAAAACTCCAGCCAAAAATATTTGCTAAATGAGTTAATTTTTAACTAGAAAAATGTAAATCTCAATTCCATGTTCATATAACCCATTTTTAATTTTCACCTGCAGTAATTTATTAGACAATGAATAAAGTTTTCTCCAATCTCTGAGCAAAATATTTTTAAAAGTCAATTCTTCAGTGCTCTTCTGTGGACATAATGAGCAGATTTCCTTTATTTTTTTAGTACATCAAGGAGAAAAAGACAAGTTGTCTTTGGTACAAAGCTTTGTGATATATTACAGTGATTGGTGGACTCAAAATTATTCATATTTCATCATGTTTTCTGGGCATATGTCTTTCTCCACTTAGCATGTATCCTCCACAATTATATATCCTGACCAGGAATGTTATTCCCCAAATATTTTAAATTCAGTTTTGTATGAGATTAATTTTAAATAACTCAACACATCTTCATTAAAATACTTCCCACATTTTGTGGCATAAACTAAAAATGTTTCATAATATTGTTCTCTTAAAATTGCAACAAAAACCTCTGTGAGACTATACCTGCATAATAAGTATATCTTCTAAATGTTATACAAAAGTAGAGATTAGGCAACCTATTATTATATTATTTCCTAGTGTAGCCATGAACTTATCATCAAACATCATATAGATCACATCCATTTTTGGTGAAGAAATTATTTTCCTTCATCAGGTGTGAGCACTGTGTTTTCATTGACCACTGTAATTATAAATAAGACTTTCTGGTTAGCAGTCATCGAACTAATAGATAATTCTGGTAAAAATTTTTGTAAACTTCACATCATTTCTTTCTTTGAAACCTTTAAAAGACTTGTCAACAACTTCATACTTCTTAATTTGAAGATTGAAAGTTTTGGGTTTGTGAAAAACAAAAGAGCATTTTTGTAATTTTAAATAAATAATTTTGAAGTGTGCTGAATTTCATTTTCTGTTATACAATCCAACTTCAGTAAAGTAGTAATTGCTTTAAATGAACTTCTCCGCAACTTCCACATACAGTAATTGGGCTTGAAGCTATTTCTGTTTTGTTTTTCATTGCTTTTTCCAAATAAGCAAACAATACTCTTGAAGGAAAATGATTTTTAATTAGTTCAAATGTAAATGTAATTGTCACCACCTTGGATAATGTCACATTTTCTGTAACAATGTATAATACTGCTTACCTTTTTCAGAATATTGTTGAAATTATTAAATGACTTGATATTTGCAGAACACTTAGAAGTGCTTGTATGCTTGTATATAATACAAGATACTACAGAATTGTTTTCTGTTATAATAATATGGCATTGTTTCTGGCTTACTCATTTACCTGTTGCCTGCTCAAATATGCATTCAGAGAAGCCAACACTGTATTTTCCTTTGTCAACTCTGCTGTGGCGATTTGATCATACAAATTAGCATCCCTTATTGGGGAAATACATATTTTAATGTAACCTAAATCTGTATTAATTTTATATTTGCCTTATTGACTCACTCAACAAATGTATATGGAATGCGTCAGGCCCTAAATAGGCATTAGGCTGCTGGTTTCTGTCTCTTTGAGTACATAGAGTGTTGATGCAAATTGTGCTTATTGTCCACCAACAATTTTCTTTTTTTTTTTTTTTTTTGGTTGGAATTTTTTTCTTTTTTTTTTTTTTATCTTTTATTTAATGAATATAAATTTCCAAAGTACGACTCATGGGTTACAATGGCTTTCCCCCCCATACCGTCCCTCCCACCCACAACCCTCCCCTTTCCCACTCCCTCTCCCCTTCCATTCACATCAAGATTCATTTTCGATTATCTTAATATACAGAAGATCAGCTTAGTATACCTTAAGTAAGGATTTCAACAGTTTGTTCCCACACAGAAACATAAAGTGAAAAATAATAGATGATTTTTTTAAATGATGATGAAATCAGATCAGACCTATTGTCATGTTTAATCCCAGTGAGAGTCAAGTTGGGAATTGATAATTTCTTTTTTTTTTTTTCTTTTTTACAGAAGATCAGTTTAGTGTACATTAAGTAAAGATTTCAATCGTTTGCACCCCCATAGAAACACAAAGTGAAATATACTGTTTGAGTACTCGTTATAGCATTAAGCCTCAGTGTACAGCACATTAAGGACAGAGATCCTACATGAGGAGTAAGTGCACAGTGACTCCTGTTGTTGACTTTACAAATTAACACTCCTGTTTATGGCATCAATAATCTCCCTATGCACCAGTCATAAGTTTCCAAGGCTATGGAAGCCCCTTGAGTTCTCCGACTCTTATCTTGTTTAGACAAGGTCATAGTCAAAGTGGAGGTTCTCTCCTCCCTTCAGAGAAAGGCACCTCCCTCTTTGAAGACCTGTTCTTTCCACTGGGATCTCACTCACAGAGATCTTTTTGCCAGAGTGCCTTGGCTTTCCATGCCTGAAATACTCTCATGGGCTTTTCAGCCAGATCCGAGTGCCTTTAGGGCTGATTCTGAGGCCAGAGTGCTATTTAGGACATCCGCCATTCTATGAGTCTGCTGAGTATCTCACTTCCCATGTTGGATCACTCTCCCCTTTATTTATTCTATCGGTTAGTATTAGCAGATACTAGACTTGTTTATGTGCTCCCTTTGACTCTTAGTCCTTTCATTATGATCAATTGTGAACTGAAATTGATCACTTGGAATAGTGAGATGGCATTGGCACATGCCACCTTGATGGGATTGAATTGGCAGAGTGGACAGTGAGAGAGAGAGAGACAGAGAGAAAGGTCTTCCTTTGCTGTTGGTTCACCCTCCAATGGCCTCCGCGGCCGGCGTGCTGCGGCCGGCGCACCGCGCTGATCCGATGGCAGGAGCCAGGAGCCAGGTGCTTCTCCTGGTCTCCCATGGGGTGCAGGGCCCAAGCACCTGGGCCATCCTCCACTGCACTCCCTGGCCACAGCAGAGAGCTGGCCTGAAAGAGGGGCAACCAGGACAGAATCCGGCGCCCTGACCAGGACTAGAACCCGGTGTGCCGGTGCCGCAAGGCGGAGGATTAGCCTAGTGAGCCGCGGCGCCGGCCCCACCAACAATTTTCAATTCTGTGTCTTTGTTCATACTATTTCCTCATTTTATATATTTAGACTACTCATCCTTCAAGATTGAATTCAAATCTAGTTTCTTTAAAGCTCTGTAATCTATGTCCATGAAAATCATTTTGGGAAGCTTGTTAAGTCAATTCCTGGGCCATAATTCACATGATCTGTTATGCTATATTCAATTTGTTGATTCTGATGCAGCTGACTAGTGTATCGCTATGGGGAGATTCATAATCACTCTGGAGTGATTTCCCTATAACTTATTTTATGTGTGATTTATTTGGTCACACTATACTAGGAATTAATAACTTTTATAATATATTTTATGATTTCAAATGTATTTTACATATATTATATTTCTTTTTCTTAATATTCATGTGTAATAGGTGACCAGCTGTTTTTATTATTAATCTCCACTTTATAGATTCAGAAAGAGATTTAAAGAGATAAAGTGACTAGTTTATTTCCTCTAAAGCAAAGATTTGAAACAAACTCCTAAAGCATTGTAACAAGTCCATTGTTATTAAATTTTTATAATAGCACTTATCTATTCACAGTTGAACCTCATCTCCCTAAATTGGTATTTATTTATTTATTTTTAATTTTTGAAATTTATATAAAAGGAACACATTTCATATATACAGTTTTAAGAACATAATGATATTTCCCACCCTACACCCCCCCTTTCCCTTGTTTCCACCCTCTCTCCTCCTTCTTTTCTTATTATTTTAATTTTTGCAATACCCCATTGGTACTTAAAATCCTTTGAAGCAAGAATTGTATACCATATTGTGTTGTATATATAGAATGCCTAAAGAGGGTCTTATATACAAATATAAGCATTTGTTGCTTTGATATATAATTTACTAAGATAAATAACTTTATACATTTCTTTCAATATATGAATCATATATTCATATTAGTAATATTTGAACCTAACTCTACTTTTCTTTTTTATTATGGAAGTTTTTTAAATATATACCATGCATTCTGTGGGGTTACTTTATAAATCCAGTCCTCAAGTAAGAAAATAGCATATTTCTTAAATAATGAACAAGGTTTTTATTTTGCTTTGTTTCATAAATGTACCATATGAACACTATTGAATGGTAGAGAATTATGCTTCATCTCCTTATTATATACCTATGTTTAATTTACTCCAGGGATACCTGCCTGTCTTAGCTGGTGCTGGAATGCAGATGATACTGTGGCATTTATTTCCCACAGAGGTCCACTGTTCCTTTGGACCATATCAGGACCAGATAGTGGAGTCACTGTACATAAGGAAGCCCATAGCTTCTTGTCTGATATCTGTATATTCAGGTGGCATACCCAGAAAAAAGGAAAAGTTGTGTTTGGTCATATTGATGGAAGTCTATCAATTTTTCAGCCAGGTAAGAATTGAATTACTGAAGTCTCTTAAACTATATTTTATTATCATGCATAATTTCTTACTTGCAAAGTATAAGCCCAAAAGGAATAAAATTTTATATAATATTTGTGAAAATATTATACTGCATTGTACTGATTTCAAATACTGCATTGAAGGAACCTTTATTATAGGCACTGTAATATATTCAGTTCAATTGTACAGATTTTTCTTTGAAGCAAATCAATCAGTTGTCTCAAATTTTTACCTTTTGTCAATTATTTTTTATTTATTATTTGTGAGAAAGCATATTTTTAATTTACATTTTAGTCAAAGGATTATTGGCCCCACTAAATACAAAGTTCAATAAGTATAAAGATCATAGTCCAGCAAGAAAATAGGCAAAGGCTGGAAACAATAGTCGGATGAAGAGATGCCCAACTTTCTTTATTTCTGCACACTTATTCAGAAAATAACCTGGGGGCTGGCGCTGTGGTGTAGCAGTTTCTTTTTTTTTTTTCTTTCACTACTCATGTATAAATTGTGATTATAAAAATGATAAAATGAATGAGAAAGAAATAACCATAAATGTGGATGTGCTGTTTGTAATGCACGCCCCTGATCTATTTATTTATTTATTTATTTATTTGACAGGCAGAGTGGACAGTGAGAGAGAGAGACAGAGAGAAAGGTCTTCCTTTGCCGTTGGTTCACCCTCCAATGGCCACCGCGGCCAGCACGCTGCGGCCGGCGCTCTGTGCTGATGCGATGGCAGGAGCCAGGTGCTTCTCCTGGTCTCCCATGGGGTGCAGGGCCCAAGTACTTGGGCCATCCTCCACTGCACTTCCCTGGCCACAGCAGAGAGCTGGCCTGGAAGAGGGGCAACCGGGACAGAATCCGGCGCCCCGACCGGGGCTAGAACCTGGTGTGCCAGCGCCGCAAGGCGGAGGATTAGCCTAGTGAGCCGCGGCGCCGTTCACCCTGATCTAAGTACTTCAGTAAACTAACTCATTTAATCATTTTTATGTTCATTTCTTATAGTTTTTAGGTTATTTTTCTACTAGATTGTAGGTATTTTTATTATTTTTTAAAATTTCTTATATATTGTTTAAAAAAGGATTTATTTATTTATTTGAAAGTCAGAGCTACAGAGAGAGAGAGAGAGAGAGAGAGAGAGAGAAGAGAGAGAATATCTTCCATCTGCTGGCTCACTCCCCAAATGACCACAGTGGCTAGGAGTGGACCAGGAGTTAGGATCTTCTGGGTCTCCCATGTGGGTGCAGAAGCCCAGGTACTTGGGCCATCTTCTGCTGTTTTCCTGGGCATGTGATCAGGGAGCTAGATCGGAAGTGGAGCAGCCGGATCTCGAACCTGTGCCCATGTAGGATGCCGGTGTCACAAGCAGCAGCTTTACCTGCTATGCCACAACACCAGTTCCCATATATTTCATATATAAAATTTTAAACCCCTGCCTCCCTCCCTCATTCCTTTTTTTGTTGTACTTCTTAATTTTCGTAATAACATACTTTGAATTTACTTTATCATTACAGGTTTAACCCTGTGAGGTAAGTATTGTCATATCATCCATTACAAAAATAAAAAAACTGAGGGACACAGAGGCCCAGTAGCTTAGCCGAGAGCACAAAGCCAGTAAGTATGAAACTAGGATTTGGGTCTAGACAGCCAGCTCCAAAGTCTATGCTTTAATCACTATATGATGTTTTTCATTTCAGTACAAGTTTCCCCTATTCCTGTGCTGCTGAAGCTCAATGAACTTTGTAATTGTTGACATAATCAGCTATATTATCTGTGTGTTTTTTTTCTTTTGCAGTTTTTCTAACAAATAGGAAAGCTATTCAAGAACCTTAAGATTGCAAAAGCAAAGCATTTGCATATGACCTTCCTCACTTTGACAAATTCTCCTGCATCCATATGTCAGTTATGTCTTCTGTATCAAAAGGCCAGATTTGCATTCTCAGTGTTCTCAGAGCTTAGCAATACACAAGGAGAAATTTAGTATGATTGTAATTGAGGAATTTTTTAAAATAATTTTATTTATATTTTAAAGGGAATAAAAATCAGAAGCATGTTCTGAGACCTGAATCTCTTGAAGGAACAGATGAAGAGGATCCAGTTACAGCCCTGGAATGGGACCCACTGTCTATAGATTATCTCCTGGTGGCTAATTTGCATTATGGAATTCGCCTAGTAGATTCTGAATCACTTTATTGCATAACAACATTTAATTTCCCCAGTGCAGCAGCTTCTGTTCAGTGCTTAGCATGGGTTCCCAGTGCTCCTGGGATGTTTGTAACTGGAGGTAAGCTGACTGCCATCATCCAGGTTTGAACTGTCTGTATATTCTTTAATAGAATCAAGTAAATTGTAGCAATTTGTACAAAGTTTATTAATATATCTCAGATATTATCATCTATCTTGATAAATACCCAGTTTACATTTATATATGCTATATATCATTGACATAATGAGAAATAAAAATTAAATTAGATTCTTGTGTTTCTGGAAATTTCTGGAAATACGCTGCAATATTAAGAGTGTTGTGATGCTTACATTTCAGGAATTGCTGGTTGTCAGTGAAGGTACGGACCAGAAAAAAAGTTTGCCTGAATGGGAACACTGTTAGCCTCAGCAGTGATTTGATAGCCTGTGATACCAAGGCAGACCTGAACTTTCCTAGACAGTGGGAATTATGACTTTGCATTAAAAGCATGCCTAGATTTCCTAATGGTTAATGGTCTCCTAACATGAGAGCAATGGCAAAGCTCAGTGATGATGAGATATGGCAAGATGAGACAATTTAGGAATAGTAGCTAGAAGTTAAATGACTTTTTACTTTTACTGTTAAGTTCAGAGAGGCTTCTAAAGAGATAGTACACTGTCAGCCACTGTATAAATAATCCCCATATTTGGTTAATATAAACTAATACATAAAAATTCTTTATCCTATCAACATTCTTAGAGAAATGTTTTTACTTCTTAAATTCTTACATTGTACATGGGTGTAGATAGTTTTTATGTATCTTAATTGCCTTTAATTTTACATTATATAATTAATACGCATGAACATTTTAATGTTTATTCTTATTATTGAAATATACTTAACATAAAATAAATTAACCATTTTTAAAGTATACAGTTCAGTGGTTTCTAGTATATTCATAAAATTGTACAATCATCATCACTACCTAATTCCAGAATATTTCCTCTTCTCCTCATCTCTAACAAGCCCTGTACCCAATAGCAGTCACTCTTCAATACTCCTTTTCCACAGCCCCTGTTGCACAAATGCGCATTTGTAAACCACTAATCTGCTTTGTATTTCTGTGGATTTTCCTGTTTTAGACAGTCCATGCAAGTCAAAGCATTCAATATGTCTACTTTTTTGGCTTCTTTTACAGGAAAAAAAAAGTTTTAAGGCTCTTACATTTTGCAGCATGTATCAGTACTTCATTCCTTTATATTTAATACATATCTGTTAAAAGCATTTGCCAGGTTTTAGTTATCGATTCATCAGTTGATATACCTTTTTGTTTCCATATCAATGCTATTATGAATAATGCTGCAATGGGCATGTATGTACAAGGCTTTTAAAACTTTTAATTGACACATAAGAATTGTTCATCTGTATGGGCTACCATATGGAAATTCAGTATACACACACACACACACACACATGTATACACAATGTTTAATGATCAAATTGGAGTAATTACAATTTCTGTCTTCTTAAACATGCATCATTTCTTTGTATTGGGAGCCTTCAGACCCCCTCTATAAAGTACATAGTAAATTGGAGATAAACTATATTCTCTCTACTACGATTTTGTCTTTGTGTACCTGGCTCATTTCACCTGACATAATATCTTCCAATTTAATCCATGCTGCCACAAACAAACGACAGGATTTCATTCTTTTTTATGGCTGAGTCGTATCTCATTGTCTATCTACATATGCCACATATTATATAATCCCTTCTTCTGTTTTTTGGACACCTCAGTTGATTCCACATTTCAGTTTTTGTGAATAGGATATAATAGCGTTAGAGTATGTGTGTCTCTGATATATACTCATGTATTAGTCCATTTTCTATCATTATAACTAAATATCTAGGGTGGATGATGAATAAAGAGGTTTATTTAGCTCACACTTTTGGGGATTTAAGGTATGGCACTGGTATCCACTCAATGTGGCAAATCCCTTATGGCAGATGGCCTCGTGGTGGGAGTACATGGAACAGGCAGAGAGCACATAGTAAGCTAAGCAAGAGAACAGGGAAGGTTTAATCTTGCTTTTTCAGAGCAACCTTCTTGTGAGAACCACTGTGGTCCTGTGAGAACTGTTAATTCCTCTTGAATTTCATTTGCAGTACACTGCAGCACTACCCCACAAATACTGTAATGGAATAGTAGCTGTTTATTCTTTGTTGTGGCCCTTGTTTGTCAGAGGAATGTGTGTCCAGCACCTCTAGTCAGCTATCTTAGTAGTACTCAAAGTTATGTAGAAACTTTTGTATGGATATATGGTTATCATTCTGTTGACTAGCTACCTAGGAGTGGAACCACTGGGTCATAGAATTCCATGTTTCATCATTTGAGGAACTTCCAGACTGTAGGCTAAATGGCTGTTAATGTGACATTTTTGGAAGGAAGAGAATTTCCTAATTGGTCTTTGGGGGTGTTTAACAATTCTTATTTTATTGAAAGTGGACAGTGAAGCAGTTTTCAAACATTCAAAACAGAAATTATTATTTAATTCCATAATTAGATTTCCTAGAACACATGTATGTCAGTGAAGTGTTTTTTTTGGTAGTCACATTGTTGTGATCTTTATGGGAGGAAGCTGTAAAGGCAGGCAGTTGCTAGCCCTATAAATGGGATTGGAACAGAAAAACAGTGAAACTTGCCAAAACTGTAAATATTCAATTGTATTTCAATGGTTTCTTTGATTGTGCTACTTTATAGTATTATTACTTGAAAGATGTTAATAATAAATGTTAAAAATCTTGAAAGTTGAAGCTTCTATTATTTTTATATCTAGGTATTGTAATTTCAGGCAAAATTTTTAGCATGTACTTTTTTCTGATTTGAATAGATTCTCAAGTGGGAGTTCTACGCATTTGGAATGTTTCAAGATCAACACCTATTGATAATTTTAAATTAAAGAAAACAGGATTTCACTGCTTACATGTGCTTAATTCTCCACCAAGAAAAAAGTGTATGTAAAATTATCAGAAAAATTTTAATATGTTAGACTATCCTATTTTCTATAATTATTGATAGTGATTTAAACATATCAGATAGTATCAAATGCTACTTAAAAGCAATTTTAAAAAATAATATTTGACAATAAGTTTTCTAAAGGAACCATGAAAGCCAAAAAATGTATAATATTACTAAATTGAAAATATTTAAAGCCATTTTATATTTATAAATGCTACTAAGAATATTCAGATAATCTCAATTTTGGATATGAAGATTAAATGGAAATATTGGTGAAAATAAGTTGGAAATGCCAGTAGTGATGAGATTAAATAAGACTAGTCTAAACCAAGGGACTTTATATCTTAAATATGGCTTGTATATTATCTTATAGCTATAACTAAGCTAAAATAATCAAAATATTTGTTATAAGATCTAAACTATTGTTTCATGTATTCACCTGTTGTCACTGAGTTAGTAATTAGCATTACAGATATCCTATATCATCATTTATTTTTGTGTATTTTTATGATTATCACTCATTTCTTCTGTAATTAAGAAAAGATATCTGTAAGCTATAGAAAAATGTGGAAAATTAATGGGATACCTAGCATTAGAATTTCTTAAATGTAAAAAATAAATTGACTATAAGGTTATTATTGTTTGCATTTTGCTTGAATTATAAAAAATATATAGTAGAGTATTTAGTGGTTGAATATTAAAGGTAATTGGTTCCTCCTTATTGACCACTGTCTAACTTTAAAATATATTAAGTAAAGAGCAAGTGTTATTAAAATAAAGTTATTTTCATATCAAATTTAGTGGTTAATGGCAACTTGTAGAAACTCTCTGTGTTATAACTTCCAGCCTTTCCAACCTAAATTTGTCTGTGGAGTTCTAATACATTTACAGCTTGGAAACTCCAGATGTGGATTTATTAGCAATGGAGAAGTAATACACTGGAGACCTGCATGTTGTTTATGCATCCTGCATTCTTCTTTTCATTTTTGTGGGTTTCTTTATTTAGTAGCCAGTAACTTCCGTATCCTAAAATGACTGACATATCATAGATACTTTTCTTTTATATATTATTTTTCTCATTAAAAGGTAACCCAAGTCCATTAGACATAAATCAGAAAATATTAAGAAGCACATAAAAATCATCATTTATTTTTTAAGATTTATGTATTTATTTGAAAGTTAGAGTTACACAGAGAGAGAAGGAGAGGCAGGGAGAGAGAGAGGTCTTCCATCTGCTGGTTCACTCCCCAATTGACCGCAACAGCTGAAGCTGCACCGATCCAAAGCTAGGAACCAGGAGCTTCTTCTGAGTCCCCCACACACGTGCCAGGGCCCAAGGACTTGGGTCATCTTCTGTTGCTTTCCCAGGCTATAGCAATGAGCTGGATTGGAAGTGGAGCACCCGGGACTTGAACTGGCTCCCATATGGGATGCCAGCACTTCAAGCGGTGGCTTTACTCACTGTGCCACAGCGCTGGCCCCAAGAATCATTTTTGAATAATGTTTTTCAGGTCACTTGTTGTTGAGTTCCAGGTTTTTGTCTTCAATTTTTAGTGTAAGACAAGTATAACCAAGCTCACTTGTAAAGCTGAGATTTTAAATATATATATATATACACAAATTCCCCCAAAAAATGGATTACAAATAGAGGTTACAAATGTATTACAATGTTACTACAAATAGGATTACAAATGGATTACAAATATAAAGGTTATAAAAAATTAGAAAACACAGTCATAGACCATATGAATTTTTAACCAGACTGTCAACAAAATTTCATTGAACCAAATCGACTACTATTAAATGCCGCTTTTTTTTTTTTAAGATTTACTTAATTATTTGAAGGGCAAAGTGGATGAAACTTATATAACAAACAAAATTTAAAAATTTTTTTCACTGATTTGGATATTAGTGGGAAAGAGTTACCTGCTTTGAAAGAAAAGAATTCACATTTATGTATGTTTATGGGGAGGGTTAAGGCTACAATGTCAGTATTTTGAATAAAGATTATAATTAAAAAATAATCATGCTGTGCTTTACTTTATGGGGAAATATACAAACCAGATATTCTGAACAGATTGTGATTCTTCATACAATAATTTTTATCCATTTTGCTCCTTTACTCCATCTGCTCTTCTATACGCCTCTTCAAAATAATATCCAATTTGTGCTTATATTCCCATTTACTTTGGTTATGCCACAGTGTTCATGTGGCAGAAAATGTAATTATTGCCTAAGGATTTACTGAGTCGCATTCTCAAATTTAAAACAAATTAAGGCCATAGTTTCATTCCAGTTGGAAGCTGGTGATATGAATACTTGTTTTTTTCTTCTTTTTTAGTTCCAATCCAATCTCCAATCAAAAATCATTATACATCCTCTACCAGCGAAGCAGTCCCATCACCAGTTTTGACACAGAATCAAGCATTTTCTCTTCCTCCTGGTCATGCGGTTTGCTGTTTCTTGGATGGTGGAGTTGGACTTTATGATATGGGAGCCAAGAAGTGGGATTTTCTTAGGGACTTGGTATGTCTGTGGTCATTCCTTATATTACATGTACTTATTTTGTGTAAACTAGTATGTGATATTTACTTTTATCAGTATAAGAATATTGTTAAAATTATATTGTAAGCAATGATTTTGTCAAGACTTTATCTTAATTGTTTAAAGATTTTAGAAAAATGTATAGAAATAAATTTTAAATATTAAACTTTAAAATTTTTATTTGAGATGCAAAGAGACAGATATACATATATATAGAGAAAGAGAGCTCCCATCCACTGGAAGCTATAAAACAGTTACACTAGTAGAAAAAAATCACACAATTTGAATCCAGTAGATTTTCTGTCAAGTATATAGCTACACTTTAATATTTTACTTAAAGTCTGTGTTAAATTTATAATTCCAATAAATCTTAAAAAGATGTTACTTAATTGTAAATTATTTTCATTGCTTTTCTCACTTTAAAAATGTCTACCAGTAGACAGCAAGCAGCCATTGTGTTCCTTAGACTTTTTCACATCTTAACACATCCCCAAATTTGAAATTGCTGAAAATATTACTAGAAACATCTCATTGTGATCTTCTGCTCTATTTAAAGCATCTACAACGATTTCAAATTATATAAGATAGAAAAATATTACTAATATACATTCTAAAATTTGTACTTATGTTTAAATGTTTGCTTTAATAAAATTAACAAAAGGGCTATAACATTGTGCTCTTCATCCATAATCTTCTTGCTGATAAGAAGAAAACAGGAAAAAAATGCATTTTTCCATCATCTGCAAATTTTAAGGTTTCCAAAAATAAAATTTGAAGTCATGGCAGTGAGATAACATTTTAAAATTCACATACAGACAGACCCTGTCTTGAATATGTTCTTAACACTGGAAGTGACCAAATGGAACAATTCAAGCTTGGTGAACATTTAGTCACTATAACAACTTGTCTTCCTTCCCTCTTGCTAAGCCTTGAAATATTTTCCCCTAACCTTTTACCTAAAAGATATTTATAGCAGTGTTGCAGTTGCCCAGGATTGTGAAATCTGACATTAACTGAAGTACAAAGATTTTAAAAGTCTTCCTTCTCTATTTTTACTGTATTAGTTGTAGAAGAGAAAGCCCTGTCCCTGTGTTTAAACTTCCTCCCTAGATTCCAACATTTTATAATTTCTGCTGCTTAAATAGGAGTTTCTATTCCTATTCTCCAATACAAGCATTGTTCAAAAATTAAAGGAAAAATGAAACAATAATATGTTTATTTTGGTAGAAAACTTTTTGAAATCTATGCATGGTTGCAGTTGTTTCATAATACATATTTTACAAGAATTTCTCAAGTCTCCTTATATTTGGAAGAAGAAAACTTGTAACTCTAGCCATTTAAGTAGTTTTTTGTAGATTTCCCTATAGTCACGTAGTGATTCGTAGTAACTTTAAAGATACATACACACACACACATCTGTATTTACCACTTTATAGTCTTCTGGGTGTTTGGGATCCAAATGACTAAGTAATGGCAACAATTTTTCAAGTCTCAAGGAATAGAATTGCTAAAATATTTTCGAACACTGCTCAGTAATAATTGTGTCATGCTTGATTCTTTCACTTATGCCAAAACTATGACGGAATCTTGAAGTATGTCGTTAGTATTTATTTTTTATTTTTTAAAGGAATATTTTCATTAGAGAGTTTCAGTCAGTTTTTTCTTGGCCTTCTATTATACTATTAATCTAGTAACTATTAAGAGTCCATTGTTTCGGCCGGTGCCGCGGCTCACTAGGCTAATCCTCCGCCTTGCGGGCGGCAGCACACTGGGTTCTAGTCCCGATCGGGGCGCCGGATTCTGTCCCGGTTGCCCCTCTTCCAGGCCAGCTCTCTGCTGTGGCCAGGGAGTGCAGTGGAGGATGGCCCAAGTCCTTGGGCCCTGCACCCCATGGGAGACCAGGATAAGTACCTGGCTCCCGCCATCGGATCAGCGCGGTGCACCAGCCGCAGGGCGCCGGCCGCGGCAGTTATTGGACGGTGAACCAATGGCAAAGGAAGACCTTTCTCTCTGTCTCTCTCTCTCCCTGTCCACTCTGCCTGTCAAAAAAAAAAAAAAAAAAAGTCCATTGTTTCATAAAGTACTGGCATATTATTTATGCATTAAAACATAAGAGAAAGATGCTTTGTATTGGATGAAATTGAAAAATGGCACATTTCAACATCTTTGTATTTGGTTGCTGACTTAAACAGTTGTGATTGTGTAGAACCCATGTCTATACAAAATATAGATTGAACATCCCTAATCCAAAAATCCCAAATCCAAGATACCACAAAATCTGACACTTTCTCAATGTTGACATTTGTCACAAATGGAAAATTTCACACTTGAGTTTATGTGACAGTTTGCAGTTGATGCATGTGCACTAAAAATATTGTATAAAATTACCTTCAGGCAGTGTGTTTAAAGTATGTATAAAACATAAGTGAATTCCATGTTTAGGTTTAGGTCATATGCCCAACATATATCATTATGTCTAAGTGACTATTCCAAAATCTGAAAAAAAATCCAAATTCAAAACAATTGAAATCTGAAACACATCTGGTTCTAAGCATTTCAGATAAGGGAGACTCAACTTTTAATGCAAATTATAGCATAGAGAAAATTCAGTCACAGTGATAAATCCAATTTTCTGTATATTTTGTTTGTCTATATATCATTGGATTAATATTTGAGACACCACAGTATTTGTGTCAACTTGATCAGATATTATGGTTTGTTTATTATAACACAGATTTTTCTCGATAGTTGTGACATTTCATAATACATTCCTAGGGACATGTGGAGACTATCTTTGACTGCAAATTCAAACCTGATGATCCAAATCTTTTAGCAACAGCTTCATTTGATGGCACTATAAAAGTCTGGGATATAAATACATTAACAGCAGTGTATACTTCTCCGGGTAATGAAGGAGTTATTTATTCCATTTCATGGGCTCCAGGTAAGAAATATTTTATTAAAATTGAGAATTAAGTTACTTATCTGAGTTTTATTTTCATTTATATTATTTCTTTCCTTTTGATGTCTTTGTTGAGATAACTGTAGAGGCAAGTGAATACCAATGTTATTGGTTGGTCAGTTTTTGAGAGGTTCTAGAATATACTACATATGGTGATACTTTGTTTCTGAGCCCTTTTGTATAACTGGGTCACATGGAAAAGATACATCTATTTGTAGCTATATTTATATAGCTATGCCTTTAAAGATACAGCAACTTTACATTATAAAAATTTTCCTGAAATTTTTCATGTGAATCAAATTTATGAAAATAATAAATCTATTTTCAGAGTTTATAATAGATTACTTTTTCTGTTACATCTGTTTCATAAATATTAATGATTACATGAGGGTATTTCACAATGTTCATGGGAAAATCGAACTAAAAGATAATTTGCAATTTCCACGAACTTTTGAAGATCCTTTGTGTACCAAGTAGAATTAAAATTGTAAACATGTAATTCTATATGAAATACTTTTCCAGTATTAAAAACTTCTATGGCATAATAGGATCTGTTCTTTGATGTCAGAAAGATGCAACTCACACTACCTGTACAATCCAGAAGAGAAGAGTTGTCCATGAAAACCTTTGACATTAACTCTCAAAATGCTATTTCCCTATAACAAATTATTTTACACATTAAAATGGATTTTTATCTTTATAAAGTGTGTATATATATGTATAAATACTTTACTTAATGTTCCTAATAGTGATATATTTATTTAATAACCACTTAATAATCAGTATGAATCTTATCCTTAAATATTTTATGAAAAAATTTTTATTTGAAAGGCAGAGTTACAGTGAGAGAAGTGAGAGATCTTCACCTGCTATTTCACTCTCCAAATGCCCACAATGGCTAGTCTTGTGGCAAGCTGAACTCAGGAGCCAGGAATTCTGCCCAGGGCCTATCATATGGGTATCAGGGGCCCAGGTACTAGGATCTTTATCCATCACTTCCCAAGCACATTAGCAGGAATCTGGATCAGAAGCAGAGTGGCCTGTCCTCAAACCAGGCACTCTGATGTGGGATGCAGGCATCCAAAGTAGTAAAGAACCTGCTGTGCCCCAATTTTATCCCCTCTTTATTTATTTATTGTTTTAATGAAGCCATCAGGCAATATGGAGTCACTTCAGTTTCTCCTGCCACTTCATTCCACACTTTTTTTTTTAAGATTTATTTATTTATTTATTTGAAAGTCAGAGTTACACAGAGAGAAGAGAGGCAGAGAGAGAGAGAGAGAGAGAGAGAGAGATAGAGAGAGAGAGGTCTTTCATCCAATGGTTCACTCCCAATTGGCCGCAACAGCCAGAGCTGCACCAATCCAAAGCCAGGAGCCAGGAGCCCGGAGCTTTTTACAGGTCTCCCACACGGGTGCAGGAGCCCAAGGACTTGGGCCATCTTCTACTGTTTTCTCAGACCATAGCAGAGAGCTGGATCAGAAGTGGAGCTGCCGGGATTCGAACTGGTGCTCATATGGGGTGCCAGCACTGAAGGTGGTGGTTTCACCCACTATGCCACAGCACCGCCCCCTCCTTATTTTTAATTTATGTCTGCAAATGCAGGGATTCTCAACCCTGAATTTATGGGTATCTGAGGATTATAAATATCTTCAGAGAGTCTAGGAATCTCTTGAATTTTTATAAGTATTTTTAAGTGAATGGATGTGTAAACCTGTATCTATCAGCATATCATAATGATCTGACAGAGCAATTTGTGACACAAATGAAGGTAAGGATCACTGATTTTATATGTGCTTCATCTTCCACAACCAGAGATATTGAAAGGGTTCTTACAACTCTTTTCTTTTCTTATTTATTTATTTATTTTTGACAGGCAGAGTGGACTGTGAGAGACAGAGAGAAAGGTCTTCCTTTGCCATTGGTTCACCCTCCAATGGCTGCCGCGGCCAGCGCGCTGCGGCCAGCACTCCGCACTGATCCGAAGGCAGGAGTCAGGTGCTTCTCCTGGTCTCCTATGGGGTGCAGGGCCCAAGCACTTGGGCCATCCTCCACTGCACTCCCTGGCCACAGCAGAGAGCTGGCCTGGAAGAGGGGCAACCGGGTCAGAATCCGGCGCCCCAACCGGGACTAGAACCCTGTGTGCTGGCGCTGCAAGGCGGAGGATTAGCCTAATGAGCTGCGGCCCAGACCTACAACTTTAAATAAAAAATCTATAAAAACCATTGTTTCAAATCAGAATACAAAAGGATCGATTCTACTGAAAGCATTATTTCACTATGCTGAGGATTTGCAGCAAGAAAATAAAAATGTTGCAAATGGAACATCTGTCATTTTTTTGCTGTGTCATAACTAATAAATCATGATTTTTAGATAAGTTTGAGTGAACTTTAAAACATAATAAATATTGACAAGGATGGAAGTAGAGTAGAATGTAGATGATTGCATAATTCCTCTATATTTTAGAGTAGCTACCACAGAAAAATAAAAATATGTGCAAGTAAATTTGAAAATTTAAGAACCTATAAAGGTAAGCAAAATGGAAATGTTAACAGTATTAAAGAACAGTGAAGATTTTTCTTGAGTGTTTATAATCAATCATGTATCACAAAGTAATTCCTTCATATTTTTATTCCTAGGGAGATGCTTCTTTTTTCTACAGGAGAAAATCTCTCCGTGCTGCAAAATATATTTACTTTAGTCGGCCATCTACTAACTTAGCAGTAAATTCATTTTATTGGTATTTTTTCTGATAAATGGAAAATATTGTTTATTTTTTGATATAGAAACTATTTTTCATGTACTTTTCTAATAAAAGACTCAACCATTAAAATATTACTAGATAGTCATTAAATATGAATATTGAAGAATTGTTGATAATTTTTGTGGTAATTGTGATTATCATAATTTGTTCCTTTTTTTTAAGATGTTTTATTTATTTATTTGAAAGTCATAGTTACACAGAGAGAAGAGGTCTTCTATCTGCTGGTTCACTCCCCCGTTGGCTGCAATGGCCGGAGCTGCGCCGATCCACAGCCAGGAGCCAGGATCTTCTTCCTGGTCTCCTATGCGGGTGCAGGGGCCCAAGGTCTTTACCCACTACGCCACAGTGCTGGCCGGCCCCCATAATTTGTTCTTGATAGTAAAATAGCCCCTGGCCGGCTCTGTGGCTCACTGGGCTAATCCTCTGCCTGCGGCGCCGGCACACCGGGTTCTAGTCCCATTTTGGGGCGCCGGTTCTGTCCCAGTTGCTCCTCTTCCAGTCCAGCTCTCTGCTGTGGCCCGGGAAGGCAGTGGAGGATGGCCCAAGTGCTTGGGCCCTGCACCCACATTGGAGACTAGGAGGAAGCATCTGGCTCCTGGCTTCAGATCAGTGTAGTGCGCCGGCCATGGCAGCCACTTGTGGGGTGAACCAACGGAAGGAAGACCTTTCTCTCTGTCTCTCTGTCTCTCTCTCTCACTATCTAACTCTGCCTGTCAAAAAAAAAAAAAAAAAAAAAGCTCCTGTACTTAGGCATCCATGCTGAAGTATCTGTTGATAAATACTGTGTCAGATTTTTGCTCCAAAGAAATCCTCCAAGGACTGTGCACAAAACAAAATGGGTCATGTTTTAATCATTGTTGAGGCTATATAATTGACACATTGATTTTATTATTGTTTTTATTTGATGCATTTATGTAATTCTATATTTGATAACTCTCATTTAAAAAAGTTTTGAAACTTTGCAAATCTCAAGTCTTATATTTTCAAAGATTATTTTTTCCTTAACCCACTGCACCACAATACATGCCCCGAAAAACATTTTCGAAAAGAATTATATTTATGTCAAGCATTTCATATAATGTCTAACAAATTGTTTTCAAAGGTGGTTTAAATTGCATTGCTGGGGCAACTTCCAGAAATGGTGCTTTTATTTGGGATGTTCAGAAGGGCAAAATTTTACAACGATTTAATGAGGTAAGATGTATTTATTGCTACTGAGTAATGTAAGTTTGAAGCTGATTGACATTTTCTAAATGTCCCATAACAGTAACCTGGTGGCAAGTATGTTCTTTCAGTTAAAAGAAAATGCAAGAATATATTTACATGCTAAAATGAAATTCTGAAAATTATAACTGAGCCTAAGCTACTTATAGCCCTAGTTCTGTTATTAATTAGCTGTTGACGTAGGGAGAATCATTTTGTTGCCTAGAACCTTTTTCTTCAAGTACAGAATGATGAAGTTGAAGTGTATAATTTTGTTAGATTGCCTTCCGGTTCTCAAATTCTATTATTCCATGACAGGCAGGCTCTTAAAACCTAGCAATTTTCTGTTTGCAATGTCACATATTGTATTTATCCTCAGACTCAGAGATTAAATTTTCAACTCATATTTTGCTGAGTTCCATTAATACCTTAAAAATATGTATAATCTAATTATAATATGTTAGGTATGAATTTAAGGAAAATATGATTAATATCTAGGATTGTTTGTCACTATCCTGAAACTTCATTTACTTTAAACAGTTGCTGAATCTTATTAAACATAATTTCTTTGAAAGTACTCTATATATTTGAAGATTTAATGCCATGTATTTAAAAAACTGTAATCCCTTTGAGGATACTCTTTAGTAACCTAGATTTCTCAGTAATTTCTGTAGTAATGTAGCAAATGCAAAATGTTAGACAGTCTTTACCAACCACCAGTAAGCAATTTTGCAGTCAAAAGAAGAATCTTTTACAAATGATTTTTAAAATTACATCCTATATGCAGCAAAGCAATGCTCTTTTAGTTCAACAATGCCCACACTGCCCTTTGTCTTCCATCACCAAGACAACTTAATCCATAATAAATACTAGGATATAAAAAAAATTATCCTGAAAATGGAACTTCTGACCTAGAATCAACAATTGTAATCTTACCTATCAGATCTGTTCATTTTATCTTGTGGCATTTCGGCATCTTGTGATCTAAAATGTCTGCCCATCAGTGCTTTAAAAGTTCCAACATGAGGCCAGCGCCACGGCTCAAGACGCTAATCCTCCGCCTTGCGGCGCCGGCACACCAGGTTCTAGTCCCAGTCGGGGCGCCGGATTCTGTCCCGGTTGCCCCTCTTCCAGGCCAGCTCTCTGCTGTGGCCAGGGAGTGCAGTGGAGGTTGGCCCAAGTGCTTGGGCCCTGCACCCCATGGGAGACCAGGAGAAGTACCTGGCTCCTGCCTTCGGATCAGCGCGGTGTGCCGGCCGCAGCGCGCTGGCCGTGGCGGCCATTGGAGGGTGAACCAATGGCAAAGGAAGACCTTTCTCTCTGTCTCTCTCTCTCTCCCTGTCCACTCTGCCTGTAAAAAAAAAAAATGTTCCAACATGATTTTGGCAACTCAGCATCTCAGTACAAGGGCCACCTCTTATATCCATTCACGTCTTTCGCAACATTTAGTAGCACAGATAAAACCAATATCAGGAATGCTTAAGTACTATCCAATAAAATCAGGGAAAATTAACAATGCCGGATACAAATAAGCTTCATGTGCCCCACAAAAGTAAATGCAGACTATTAACTATAAGTGTACTTTCCTTGGGAATAAATAAAGCTGAAAGAAAACTTGTACCATGTAAATTGAATAAAAATGGGAGCTAGTTTCATTTTTGTACCTGCTGTGTCAGCTCTCTTTGACCCACAAAGAGATAAAAGCAGTAGACTAAAGATTGACTTAAGAAATTTGAAACAGTACTTACAAAGTAACCTTCTCCTTAATGGTACCACAATTTCCCGCTTAATAGCAATACCATTTATGTTCTATACTAAATAGAAATGTTTTAATTAAAATTTACAAACGAGCTGATTATAACCTTTATTCATTATCACAAAGTAGAGGAAAGATAATACCATGTATAATGTGTTGTAAAACTTAGCACACCAGATGTGGTTTTACCCCTTAACCTTTCCCCAGTTCTAGAATACAGATGACAGGCAAATACAATTATAGAAATAACTTTAAAACTGCTTTTTTCACAAAAGTAAAATTTTGAGGGTTTTCATCTCTTGGAGCACCCTCCTGGCTGGTGCAGCAGGAGGTTTCTGACTTAAATATATCTTCCTTTGCTCATACTAACAAAAAAATTGAAATTTAGAGAAGCAAACAATAGTAATTATAATATTTCTTACATTATATATCTTCAAAATGTTCATGGAAATGCATATTAAAACCTATGCATGAATTTTGCAACAAACTAAACTAATCTTTTAATTCTGTTTTCTATGAACTTGTTGAATTATCCATATATTTGTAGAAATACTGAGTTTGAAAGCATATAAAGAATTATCTTCATCTCAATACCAGTGCTTCCAGGAAAAGTCATGAAGCAGAGCTGAAATACACAGGTGGCTTAAGAAGCATGGTGTCCAGCAAAAAGAACTAGAGTTGCCTAATTTATGTCTTAAAAACAGTGGAGTTATTTCTTAAGTATGACAGCTTTACAATTTCCTGGAGAGTATACATTCTGATTTCTGCTGTTGACAGGAATGTCTCTTTTAGTATAATGCAGAGTAAGTTCCTAATAGAAAAATGATACTCAGAAGAAGTAAGTAAATAAGAGAAAAAAGGGGTGAATTATTTCTTATTGATAGGTATTTTGCATTTTTTGAAGCATGGAAAAAATGGAATATTCTGCATTGCCTGGAGTCATAAAGATTCCAAAAGAATAGCAACCTGCAGTGGTGATGGTTTCTGGTAAGTACAATATATGATATTATGAAATTGCACTCTTTATAAAAAACACACTTGATTATTCCAGTTTTGTATGAGTGATGTTTTATTTTTCCAGCTCCACCAACTATCATAAATATGATTTATAAGCCCATGTTCTTTTGCTACAATATTTCACCAATAAATAACAAGGCAATAGTATTTTTTAAATGAGCCACTCATTGCCTTTTAAATGAAAACATCACATGAGTTATGACTACAAGACTGTGAATTGCCTCAAGGAAACTTTAAGAACTTTAAGAATTAAGGATGTCTATGTAATTCTCACCACATAGTCATATACTTCCTGGGCATTTTTTATTTGGTAGATGCAACATCCAGCGACTAAACATTTGTAAGCACTAGTCACCATCACTCCCAGTAACCTTAAATGTTTTTGTTGGGACTGTTGATGTTTAGTTTAAGAGTATCTCTTTAAAAGACTTAAAACTCTATAATACATTAATTTATTCACAGATTCTTTCTTATCCTGATGCAAATAACTATTATGGTAACTATAAAGTAGGGTACAAGACTTCTTTTATTTTTGCACTTATGTAATATGAAATCTATTTTTTATTGGTGGCAGAGGTCCAGATATTCTCTGAATTTCTAGTTGTATCACTGAGAATATACCATGAAAATGTTATAATTTGTAGGTCTTGGTGTCAGCACATACCACCTACTCTGTAAATTATTTGTTTTAAATACTGTAAATGTTAAACTATGAAATGTTGAAGCCTACTATCCAAAACATTAAGTTAGTTATATCAGTAAGTTTTAAAATTTTTAACCTATATTTTCCTTAACTAAAAATATAAGAAAATAGTTTCTAAATAAAAATGTATCATTTTTGATTTAAATGTATTGCTTAACTAGTTTTACAAACTTTTCATTACAAAGTCTCTATCCCAGAATACTTCTATTGAAAATTTGCAGTGCTGACTTTGTCCTCATGAATAATGTATGTAGAATGTTGTTTGTTAATGTATCATTATTAATTTCAGTATTATTCGAACAATTGATAATAAAGTGCTACACAAATACAAACATCCAGCTGCAGTGTTTGGTTGTGATTGGAGCCAAAACAACAAGTAAGTATTTTTTCCTGAAGTAATCATCACATTTCAGATATTTTAAATAATCTTAAAGTTTGGTGCTATTCCCATAGATTATACTTGTCACTTTTTTAGATAACATTTACCCAACCAGCAAATAAGTAGGGGCTTTATAATTGCCTTTTAATTTTAGCTACTTTTATCCAATGAAATTTTCACATGATTTAGAAATACTGATTTCTTCAACTCTTGTCTGTAAAATGAAGCTAATACCCTCTAGCCTGTCTTTGCCTATTAAATTATTATGCAAAATAGTAGTAAATTTAATTATTTATAAAGAAATATTTCATTAAAAAGAAGAAATACTGATTTCCTACTCTCAAAACAACTTTTTGATACTTCAGAAAAAAAGCATGAAAAACAAAAAATGGGAATAAGTCCCATTTTGTTTTTGTAGAAGCCCTATGTGTGGCTTCTACTATAGGTAAGTTGCCCTTTCCTTACCTTGTTAGAAGCTATGCAATGATATACTTCTACTATGAATTTATATTGTCTCCTGACTAATGCTAAGGGTTCTTCTGTACTAAATAATTTCCCAAGACATGGAGTTTAAATGGGTGGTTTTCAAAAATCAACCTGGCTTGAAATCTGAGTGTTTGCCATGTAAAAATCAGTTTAGATTTAAAATTAAATCTCCTCTAAAGTTGAACCTTTAACTCACTCCATTTCCAATAATTATATATTTGAAACCTCTTATTAATTTGATAAAAATTATATTTTTAAGATTTATTTATTTATTTGAAGGAGAGAGGGCAAGAGAGAGAAAGAGAGAAAGAGAGAGAGAGAACACTCCCCAGATGGCTCTAATAGCCAGAGATTGGCCAGACAGAAGCCAGGACCTTCATCTGGGTTTCCCGTGTGGGTGACAGGAACCCAAGTATGTGGGCCATCTTTTGCTGCTTTTCCTGGGCCGTTAGTAGGTAGCTGAATTGGAAGTGGAGCAGCTGGAACATGAAATGGCATCCATATGGGATGCCGGCTTGGCAGGCAGCAGCTTCACCCACTATGCTACAACACTGGCCCCATTAATTATATTTGAAAACGCAGATTTTCTTTATATTTATCAAAAATTGTGGATTATTGTATGCTTTAACATACTGCATATGGATATATAGAGATTAAAATATTGGAACCCATTTTACTTGATTCAAGTCAGATCACATTGTACAAAATGATGGCCCTATGTATTTCTTTCAGTAAATATCAAAGAATTTATAACACACTGTTAGATTATTGGAAGAGTGAATTCATGACCAGCAGATCCTCCAGTATTTCCTGGTTCAATGACTGATATTGTTAACCACAAAAATCGATAAAACTAGTATCTTTTGCCTTTTCTTTTGCAAATTTTAGTTTCTCATTTTCCATTTCTGGTCAACTATCACCTTCTGTCATATTTTTTATCTAAATATTTACTTTTTTTTTTTTTGGCAACCATTCCCTTGCCTCTAAGTCAATCACAATTGACTGATTGTTTATATACTCCTATAAAATCTCAATCATTTCCAGAATTGGCACCCTTTATCACCCTTTCTTCTCTTCCCATATTATTGCCCCTGTGTTGCAGTTAAAATGAACATTTGAAATGCAGATCTGAACTTAAATCCTTCATTGCTTTCCCACTGAGCTGTAGGATAACATTAAAACTCTTAGCAAGTTCTACAAGGAAGTTCCTATTCAATCTGATTCCTATCCACTTTATTAATCTTACTTCAGGTCTGCGCCTCCCTTGTTCCTTTCATCAAGCCACATTGCCTTTTAGCATTCCACCAGCCAGCAGATTGTTACCTCAAGACTTTCACTCATACTGACCCTTTTTATCTAAGATTCTACTACCCACCCCTTACGGTATACCCTACATGGCTTAGGCTTACATAACTACAACCTAACTTTTGGCTCTCAATTCAAAAGTCACTTCTACAGAAAAGCGGTCCCTGGTCTCTATGGTAGGTAAATTTCCTTGATAACATGCCTTTGGAGCACTTAATTAATGGAACTAATTTTTAATTGTGTCATTGTTTGCATATTGACTGTTTCACCTTCTAAAATGTAAGCCCTATGAGATCACCAACTGTGTTCTCTATCATTAGCAGTATATCATTAGCAAAACACTGTATTGCTAACCTTCACTATGCCTTGAAAATAGTAGAAATTAAATAAATATTACCTTAATATACAAATCAATCAAATTATCTTGCATCTGACCAATAAAATAGTTTGACATTTTTATTTCTACCACTTAGGATGAAAATTATATATTAATGCAGTATGTTTAGTTGGTTAACAAATTTTTAAATGGAAATGACACTGAAGTCCTTTGTACTTAAAAGTTACTCTTACTACCAAGCACACCAAGTAAATTTAAAAACCTTTTAAGAAGTGTTCTAATTGCACTATTCACATTCCACTCAGCACTTTTTGTTCAAAAGGTGAGAAAGTGAACACTTACATACATGTGAGCATGGGTTTCCCCACAGAGATAAATACTTGTCTTGAGTGGGCAATGGGCCAAAAGGTTACCCAAAAGGAGGAGAGGTGGAGGAAAGGGGAGAGAGAGAGGGAGTGAGCATTGCAAAGAGCATGGAACTGCACCTCCGGCTGTGGTCTGTGGCAGAAAAGAGCGCATTCCAGTTGTTGGCCTCCTTTGTGAGGTTGAGAGGTAGTACCTCTCCAGGTGTGAAGCCACCTGGGAATTATACACAGCATTTCACAGGTTTCACGTGGAGCTCAATATTCATATTTTCATGGTTGAGCCCCCTTTAGGTCAGGGATGAAGCAAATGCATCCTGGGAAAGCAGACTTTTTGATTGACAATTAAGAGGATAGAATTAAATAGGAGCTTGTTAGTTTCACCTCTGCAGACCTAAACTTGCTCCCTGGCTAACCCACATCAACATGTTTTCCACAAGTTTGACTGGTACTCATAATTTCTTTCCTTTTAGTATTCTTTGTGTGACCACCATTAGGGTTTGAGTAGCTGTTCAATTCACTCTTGAAAGAAGAACACAGAATATTAAAAATCACATTACATTTGCAGAATACCCTTAATTACATCATACAGTGCAAGCATCTCAAGGGAGAAAATCCACCAAAGAGGAATGGGAAACTGCACTGTGACTTTCTGTCTCATGAGACAGCCTGCGTCTGCAGGGAGTCTTCCCAGCCTTCTTTCATTGGGGAGCATTGCTATCTGTACCCATGCTACCAAAAAAAAAAAAATTGGCCAGGTCATGTAATAATAATTTTCTTACAACTAGTTAGCAACATTTATTATTAGCCATCTGAGAGTCTTCTGAGGAACTGATAGTTCCACAATATAAAGTTTGAGAAACATTTGAGAAGCTATGGAGTCAACATTTTGAAAAAGAATATATAAAAATATAAATATTGCTTCTGATTTTAAATAAACAAAATACAAAAACAATTCATTAAAAGGGAACACTGAGATACTTTTCTCTACTAGAATATTTTCTGCCAATGCCCACTGTTTTCACATGTGTAAGTGTTTTGTCTAACCTCATTAAAAACCTGTCTCTAGAAATTAGAGCTACTTTACATTGTAAAATTATTTGTAATAAATAACATCAAGTTTTCACATGTTAATAATGTTCCATTGATGATATTTCAGGGACATGATAGCCACTGGCTGTGAAGACAAAAATGTCCGTGTCTACTATGTAGCCACCAGTTCTGATCAGCCATTGAAAGTTTTTAGTGGACATACAGCAAAAGTGTTTCATGTTAAATGGTCTCCTCTGAGGGAGGGAATTCTTTGCAGTGGTTCTGATGATGGGTATGTATTTTTGTATTCTGAATTTTCAGCCATTAAAACCATGAGTTTATATTTTCCTAGAAATGTACATACTTGTAAGACAAAATAATACGGGGAAATATTTTAAATATGTACTTAACAAGTAGGCAGGTAACATGTACCTAATTGTAGTGGAGCAACACTATTTAAAGCTTGACCAAAAATCATAAGTATCATAAGTTGTGAGTACAAAACTCAACAGTGTCATAAAAGGAAGGGCAACTGTGTTACTGCCTTCTATAAATTAAATTATTTTAACACAAATCACTTTAAGTATGATTTCAACCTTAAAATATTTAAATGCTAGCTATATATATAATTAGCACAAAAATTAAGTTATAATATATTTGGATATATAGTCATTACTTGGGATCCATGGGAGATTGATTCCAGGACCAAGGATCCCCATGTGTACAAAACCTTGATGCCCAGGTGCCTTATATAATATAGGATAGCATTTCCATATAACCTCTGCATATCCTTTCATGTACTCTAAATCATGTCTAATTTACTTGCAGTACCTGCCACAAAGTAAGTGCTATACAGATAACTGTTATCCTATATTGTTTAAGGAATAATGACAAGGAAAATGTCAGTGCATGTTCACCATAGACACAATTCACTTTGAAAAAATGTTTCTGATCTAGTGTTGATAGAATCTGCAAATGAGAAATCCTCAGATATGGAGATCCAATTATATTTTACTGGGCTAGGATAAGGGTGAATAGAAAGAGTCCTTTTATATAAAAGAGAAAGAGTTATTCCTTAAAGATAAAAAATGTGTTTTATACCATGAATAACTGGTATTTTATTATTTTGGTATTGTCTAAGTCTGAGACTAAAAAATTATATTGAAATGTGAAAGTAAAATTAGCATTTGGAAATCATAATTTTATTTTGAGTTCAAATTTTAATTTTAGTAATATTTGTGTTGTATATAACAGTAGACACAATAATTAATTATTATAGTTTGTGTTTTTACTTCTTATGAGGTTGATTCTATACTAATCAAGCAAATTACTTACTGGCAAAAACCACTAAGTAATGATTTACTCTATAGGTAAAAGCATAAATATGAAATGATTTTTCAAATAATGCCCATAATTATAAATATACTTTCAAGATATGCAAGTAATTTGAGTGTTCTTAAATTATTTTATCTATGTTATTAGTCACACTTTCTCTGATTATATGTGTTCTGTATATTTCCTTTAAGATAACAATTTTTCATATATAAATTGTGAAACAGTACATTTACCATCAGTAGTAAATGACAAAAAGCGTAAAAGAAAACATATTGGAATAGACAAACTCTAACCTCATTAAATATTGATTTCAAACTGTTCTAAAGAGAATATATCATGAAACATAAAATGCTTTTAAATGTACTGAGAAATAAGCATTGGGCTCTATTAAGAGTACGTTAATACTTTGGATAAATTATAATTTGAGTTATACACATAATATTCTGTTTTCAGTTCTGTTCGAATCTGGGATTATACTCAAGATGCTTGCATAAATATTCTTAGTGGACACACTGCACCTGTAAGGGGATTAATGTGGAATACTGAGATTCCTTATCTACTAGTATCTGGCAGCTGGGATTATACTATAAAAGTATGGGACACTAGGGAAGGAACTTGTCTGGATACTGTCTGTGATCATGGTGCGGATGTATATGGTAAAGTATTTTTCATGTCTTTATTATATTGATATATCAATGCTTATAACTTTTTAAAAAGTCTTTGAAGAGTTTCATTTTAAATAACGTATTTCTCGTTATGAAATAGGAATACTCATTGGTTTTCTTTGAAGATTTATTTATTTGAAAGACAGAGTTACAGAGGCAGAGAGAGGTCTTCCATCTGCTGATTCACTCCCCAAATGGCCACAATGGCCAGAACTGGGCCAATCTGAAGCCAGGAGCCTTAAGCTTCTTCCAGGTATCCTACGTGGGCACAGGGGCCCAAGGAGTTGGCTATCTTCTACTGCTTTCCCAGACCATAGCAGAAAGCTGGATCAGAAGTGAAGCAGCCAGGACTCAAACCGGCACCCATATGGGATGCCAGCACTGCAAGTGGAGGCTTTACCCACTACAGCACAGCACTGGCCCCAGAATATTTATTGTTGAGCCATCAAAAAACACAGAGACAATAAAAAAAAAAAAAAACAGTAGAAATGACAAAAAGATGACTATTGATAGCACTGTGGTATTTCTCTATTTCTCTCTCCCTCTCTCTTTAACTTTGTCTCTCTTCCTCCCTCCCACCCTTCCTCACTTCATCTCTCCCTCTTTCTCAGGTTTATATCAATGTTTCTGTGTATACACACACACACACACACACACAATGCACACATTCACTTAATGCACATATGAGGAAGATTCCAAAAGTTCATGGACAAATGGAAATTTAAAATAATGGGCTTTTTACAGCCCCCTAATTTATAACAGTAGTGCTTGAATTTCCTCTCTTCTCTTATCACTCCAGAAGTAAATTTAAAACAGGAAAAATCAGTAATAGAATAAATATAACTTATTTAGCCATTCTCCTATTCTTGTATATTTAGGGCAATGTTTTGTGTTTGAATATGATACTATTTGATATAATTGAGCTGGTTTTGGAAAATGAATTTACTTGTTATTTGCATATCAGTTTATTCTCATTTGCATTTGTATTCACTCTCATTGCCATACCTTGATGAGAAAGAAGTAGACTGATAATGCAAAAATAATTCCTTAGAGAAAGTAACTCTAATACAACCAATTAAACTTATATGGCTTGCTGGTGCCGTGGCTCACTAGGCTAATCCTCCACCTGCAGCTCTGGCACAATGGGTTCTAGTCCTGGTCAGAGCGCCGGATTCTGTCCCGGTTGCCCCTCTTCCAGTCCAGCTCTCTGCTGTGGCCCGGGAGTGCAGTGGAGGATGTCCCAAGTCCTTGGGCCCTGTACCCACATGGCAGACCAGGAGAAGCACCTGGCTCCTGGATTTGGATCAGCGCACCGGCTGCAGCAGCCATTGGGGGGTGAACCAACAGAGGGAATACCTTTCTCTCTTTCTCTCTCTCCCCCACTGTCTAACTCTGCCTGTCAGAAAAAAAAGAATATCTTATTTTTTAATACTTTAAACTGTACAGTCTCCTATTCTCTATTAATATTATGCATACTTGTTGCTTAAGCAAAAGAAACATAATTTCAATATTTTAATTCAGGGCCATTTGTTTTTTAATGATTAGAGTTATTCAGTGTTATATTCATATTTACAGAATATGCTAAATAATTTGTTGCATTCTTACACTATTTTTAGCTAAGATATTAATTAATGCAAGTTAAGGTTGACTGTGGAAACTTTTAACTTATTCACATTTCTCTATAATTAATTCTGTGTAGCTTTATGAGGTGCATACAAATGCAAACTGTTTTTTAATATTTTCTCTAATTAAAATAGGTTTTGGTGTTTTTCCATCAGGCTTAACATGTCATCCAAGTCGCCCCTTCACTATGGCCTCTTGCTCCCGTGATTCCACAGTGAGACTCTGGTCATTAACACCTTTAATCACTCCTTTGCAAATAAATATTCTGGCAGACAGACCTTGGGAAGAAATTATCGGGAACACTGGTACTGAACATATGCATGGATGAGAATTTATTTTCAAATAATACTTTAAAAGAGTCATTTTCTCACTGAATTATGTCTGTTCTTCAGATAATGCTATAGAACAAGGCACTCCTCCTCTATTGTGCGGCAAAGTGTCAAGAGATATTAAACAAGAAATAGAAAAACAAACTGGTAATCATCGAGCAAAAAAACTAAGATGGTTTTCAGAATGTTTATCAGTAAGTATTATAGGAATTAAACCTAATCATTTTCCCGTTAGCCAAAATGAATCTATGAAAATATTAAGTTGCCAGATATCTACATGAACCACTCCGATTTAGTGGATCCCTCTTAACATAATCTGTACAGATGAGATCAGCATAAAACCAGAAGCAATAAACAGAATAATGTATAGTCATTATTTTGTTATTTTTTCATTTTAAATATGCCTGCATTGTACTATTTGTAAAGATGCAAAAAGCTGTGAATTTTTTAAATTCACTGTTATATCTTTGGATATTTTATATAATCTTTTTAGCCTCCAGGTGGCAGTGACAATTTATGGAACTTGGTTGCCGTGATAAAAGGAAAAGATGATAGCTTACTTCCTCAGAACTACTGTAAAGGAATAATGCATTTAAAACATCTGATTAAATTTAGAATGGTAAGGAAAGTATGGAAATATGGTATACTCAAAATAAGGCATCTCAAGCATTTTTTTCTTTAACACTGTGAAAATTAAAAATGATATTGCATACAAACGCATACAAGAGGAGTCTGCAGAAAGTTCATGAAACTACATATTATGAAAAATCTATGCATGGAGTTCAAAAAATTTCTACACCAAAATAAACATCTTTCTTCCACCAACTTTTTGAAGTGATTTCTTTTGTATTATGAATATTTGTGTGATTAATTTGGCAGTCTGAAATAAGTGAACGTGGAGGAGATAAGTCTTGGATAAAAATGATCATGAGAACATAAATTATTTGAGAATGTATTATGACATGGTTTTGATAGGTTGACTGTCATGAAATTCTGCAAAAGTCACTGGAACTGCTTGAAATGCTATCTTTACCCTCTTCCTGGATGATAGTGACAAAATGTATTCTGATTTTGATCTTGGAGGACCTAATGGACTATATTCTGAATATGTTTTATTAAAACTGGTTATATTGTAACTGAGTGAATTTCAGTACAAAATATTAGTTACCTTATTCATGGGGCAATGTCCAGTATCAACAACAAAACTCATCCTGAGGCCAGAAAGAAGAAATAGTTTATATATTTTCAATGAAATATCAAAAGTTAACTATTAGAACATAAAAAGAATTGCACCAAGGATCTGGATTTGATGGCCACATGAAACAGTTATTTTAATAAAGTCAAAGTACTTTCTTTAATAATAAACTGTTGACAATGTAGGAGCCAATTAGAATGAGGTAGTGACTGGGGTAGGCTGTATCCTATTCTCTTTAAAATAATCTAAGTGTTGTGGTATACAGAAGTCCAGGGCCCAAAAGGTAGTGATGAAGTGATATACCATTGATCAAATACAATAAATAAAACTAAATTGAAATTAAAATCACTACCTCATTTTATTTTAGTTTAGTTAGTTAGTTAGTTTAGTTTAAAGATTTATTTATTTATTTGAAAGGCAGAATTACAGAGAGGCAGAGGCAGAGAGAAGGAAAGGTCTTCCATCCACTGGTTCACTTCCCAAATGGCCGAAACAGCCGAGCTGGGCCGATTGGCAGCCAGGAGCCAGGAGCTTCTTCCAGGTCTCCCACACGGGTTTAGGGGCCTAAGCACTTGGCCCATTTTCCACTGCTTTCCCAGGCCATAGCAGAGAGCTGGATTGGAAAAGGAGCATCTGAGACTTGAACCAGTGCCCATATAGCATGCCCGCACTACAGGCAGTGGCTTTACCCACTACGCCACAGCGCTGGCCTCCAAGAAGTATCAGGTTTTATGCAGAAAATATTTTAGTATTGAATTTCTATATTTGGTGCTTTTAAAATATTTACCCATATAGTGTTTTTATGATTATTTGTTACTACCAGGTCTTATGTAACAAAGTTTTTAAATTTTTATTTGGTTTTAACTCAGTCTGAAGCCCAAGAGCTGACAACTGTCAAGATGTCTAAATTTGGTGGTGGTATTGGTGTACCCACTAAAGAGGAAAGATTGAAGGAAGCTGCCGAAATACATTTGCGATTAGGACAAATTCAGAGATACTGCGAACTTATGGTTGAGCTCGGAGAGGTAAAATGCTGTTTAAGTAAAATTAATGAGTTTACAATAGCATTCAATGGATTAAGAATATGCTTAATTATAAATTTTAAAATATGAATCTTATTTTTGTTCACGTCTAATTGATTCTCTACAAATTTAATATCAAGTGTAAGTTCTAGAAAGGTAGTTATTATTAACAGTAGGCGTGAGTGTCAGCATCATTTGGGAACCTATGAGATAGCATTTCCCACTCCAGATCTGCAGAATCAGAACCTCTAGGGATAAACCCAACACTCTGCTTTTTCATAAACCCTCCTGGTGATTTATGTGTATTCTGCAGTTGGAAACCCCCTTTCCTAGACTAGAGCTTTGATCCTTAAAAACATATCCATCGTAGTCAATTTTCTCACATTGAAAACTCCTTGCTAGTGCTATTTGTCATAACTAAATCTTAAACTAGCCTCAAGAGGAGTTTCCATTGAGGATCATCTGATGAAGTATATTGCTTAAGGCCCTTCCTGATGTTTTCACAGAGGACTGTATCAGCAAAACATACTTCTCAAAAAGGTTAAGATTAATCTATGCTATTGAAACTTACTGCAGCGACTACCTTTACTAGGTCTGTAGTGACTGGAGTGAAGCACAGCGGCAAGTGGGAGCTCCTGTTTTGTGAGTCTGGGTGTTTGTTGGTTACAAGGGTATCTTCAGTTTTTGAAAGTTCAGAATTATAAAATTGGGCTTTTTTTCTGCATAAGTAGTTTAGTTCAACAAACTACCATACCATTCCCTACCATACCAAAACAAAGTTTGGAATAGCATGGCACATTTCATAGTTTATTGAGTTTTGAAAAGCTTTAGGTTAGTTAATTTTGTCGTTACAAAGCATCATATAATATACTTGTAAATAATATGAAATAACACCAAGTAATACAGTTACATTAAAATGTATCAAAATTAAATTTCACTCACCTTTTTACTTTCCCATACACTTAGAGACAGTGCATTACAACTTGCTCTAAAATAGTAAGTACTATTAAAAACTGTTATTGGAAAGACATTGTAAATTTAAAAGTATTTAGGAGCAATGCAACACTGTTACTAATGCAGTAATAACGATTTGATTTAAAAGTTCCTTTTTTAACAGGACATTACTAAACAACTTATCAAAAGTCAAGGAGAAAATGAATAATTTTGGTGTAAAAATGTAATTTTGTCTCTAAGTTTCATATTTGGGTATTTGTACTTTAAACTCTCTTAACTCAAAACTTATCTGAATCAAATGCCTGTCTATTAAATTTAATAGTTATATTGTTAGGAAAGCTCATTTATGGACTGATGGACTTAATGATTCATAAAACTTTGCTTTCAATTGTTTAGAATTATGGGTATCCTTGTAATTGTTCATAATCACTTGCTTATTTTTTCTAGTTCTGTAAGCTTTCTACTATGAAGTTAGAAAAACTTTTAATCCTTTCACTTTTAAGACATTTATATTAAAAGAACTTGGTGACTTCAAAGTTAATTTAGTCTACATTTTAACTTCATTTATCCAGTTTCTACTACATTAGAGAAGAATTTCTCCCAAAAACATGTTTTAAGTTATCTTTTAGGTAACATAATTTTAAATATGTAGTATTAAAATTTAACATATTTTCAGTTAATTATTTTTATACTTATTTCAGTGGAATTTTAGTTTTTTGGAGAGCTTTAATTAAAATGAAATTTTGATTCATCTAGTTCTTTTTCAGAATATTTTCTCCTCAGTTCCCTTCTAGCTTTGAATAAAGTGAAACTCATTTTTTCAAATAAATGTCACAGTCACCTTGGATTGAACATGAGCTGCTTCAATAATAGTCAGTCCAGTTTTTTTATAATATGAAGACAAGTATTACCAACTGGAAAAGAAGAAGTGGCAATAAATAAAGTTTATAAAAATCAATAGAGAAATAATAAAATAGAAACAACCGACATATATGTTAAATATAAGTAAATGTGAAGTAAGAATTTCAGTGTTATTTTGACAAAGAATATCATAGAATGGATTGTTCTCGTATTGCATTATAAGAGTTAATCTGTGTATATTTCAAACCTCATATTTGTCACTATTCCTTTCCTCCCTATCATTTCTCTCCTTCTTACCACCTGCATCTCTTCCCTTTTTATTTTCTATTTTTTTAATATAATGAGGACAGGTTTAAATGTAGTTCATAGGTACAATTCTAAGAATATAATGATACCTCTTTCTATCTCTTTCTCACCCTTTACATTTGGAATTGAATTTTTATTTTGAATTTTGCATTTTTTCTTTTACTTTAAAATATCTTAACTTTTATTCTGAGTGGAATTAATGAGATAGAAAAATATACATTGAAATCTAGACTTTAAAATTCTATGTTATAAATATAACAAATTGACTTTTAAAAACGAGTTCAGAATTACACAGTGCAATCAAAACAGATATGCTTCTACTCTTCGTTCTTTCTATCCTAGTGGGACAAAGCCCTGTCCATTGCACCAGGGGTATCTTTGAAATACTGGAAAAAGCTAATGCAGAGGTAAGGCCGTAAGTGTGTGTATAAATATGTTTTATAATTACATGTAAAATAGGAACAGTATATAAATGTGATAGTAGTTATTGATATTTTTTACCTTTTTTGTCTTATGTAATAACTAAATTTATATCCATAGATAGAACAAAGGAAATGAATCAGTTGTAAGTCATTTTGGTATTCTTATATTTTACTTTAATTCTGTTGAAGACAGTAAAAAGCAAATTTCCTCCATATCAGTGGACAAAAAACATACTATCAAATTATTAACAGGTTATTGTATTGCTATTTAAATAGAAATAGTAAGATTTTTTAAAGGTTTTCAGAAGTCCACAGAATATTGCTTTATAAATAATCTCCAAAATGCTCTGTGTAGACACTAACTCTTGCCATTTCCTTCCATGGTTAGAAGGGAGATACTGTTGAAAAAGAAATATCTGACCAGTAAGGAAACATTACTAGGTGTCCTTGTTTTAGAATCCAATACACACACACACACACACGACTTTTTCACAGATGTGTTAATTTCCAAGGATTGCCTTCACAAATTACCCTAATCTGGATGACTTAAAGCAACACAAATTTACTCTCTCACAGTTTTGGAGGCTAGAATTCCCACTGGTAGAGTTTGTTCCTGCTGGAGTTTCTGCAAAAGAATCAGTTCCATGCTTCTCTCCTACCTTCTAGCACTTGTTAACCATTCTTGACCTCTTACAGATTATAGATGCATCCCTCCAATCTCTGCCAGATCTCCACATGTCTATCTTTGTGTGTCTCTGTGCCCAAATTTCTTTTTCTTATAATGACACAAGTTAGATGGCATTTAGGACCCACCATAGTCCAGAATAATCTGAATAATGTAACTAATTACCTAACCAGAAACCCTATTTCTATGTAAGAGCACATTCATAGGTTCCCTGGGTTAAAGCTTCAACATTCCTTTTGAGGGGACGCAGTACAACCTGCAGCTTACAACTATTTTAGTCTGTTCTTTCAACAAATACGTATTTAGTGCCCCTGTGTGCTAATCCCTGTGCTATGCCTGTGGAGTACTATTTAGTGAGTAGTTACCTTGCTTCTGGCATTGAAAAGAGAAATTTTGATTTCTAATGGTTTAGGAGAAAACTAATCAACTACTGCTCACACATGCAGAGAAAGAGAGAGAGAGAAGAGAGAGAGACCAAAATCTAAAAGGATTAACACATTTGCCATGGGAAAGTAGACTATTCCCTGTCATCTCTTCTCCCAGTAAGTTAAGCAACAGGCTGTCACTAGCTTGCTGACTGAATACTCTCTGTTCTAAGCTCTAGAATCTCGAATACTTCTATGTTCCTGTACCTTTACAGCACACTTGTGAATGCTAATTCTCCCACTGGATCCTTAATAAAATCAAGACAGCAGGGGATATTTATTTGACAAGACATTCTTTCAACCTCACCACAAGCTTTCTTGAATGTCACTTAGGCTAAAAGTATAGTCAATCTATGGTAATAATTCATAGAATGAAAGTAATAATTATTTTGTAATTTTTATAACTATTGACATACTTTTAAAGAGGCTAGTAATATTAATATGCTACTACATTGCTTTTTATGGTAGGTACCTAATGAGTTTAAAATATGGGGTATGCTCAGATATGGTAACAGGGGAATTGTGACCTAAATTAGTGTATTTGAATTGAACTATAAGGGATACACAGGAGATAGCCAAGAGGCTAGGAAAGCATTCCAGGCTTACAGAACAGAGTAAAGGAGCTAAAAAGAGGTATCATAGCTGACATAGGTAAGCCTTAGAAGCGGTGAGTGAGAGTGAAAAGGTCAGTTATGGTTTTACTTATTAGACCCAAATTTTCTTGTTATAGATGTTTAGACATAAATTTATTAGAAATAATTTGCAACTTCCCTAGGCATTTGTAACCAGAACCAGGATTGAGAGACTATCAATCAATTATCTAGAGTGGTTGAATCTATCAAATATAAACCCCAGAGTTGGGAGGAGGCAATTTAGCTTGAGTGATAGTTAAACGGTCAGGAGGAGCCAGCATTTTGGCAAAGCACGTTGTTTGCAATGCAGGCATTCCATACCTATGAGTTCTGGCTACTCTATCAGAACACACCTCCTGCTAAGTGCTGGGAAAACAGAAGTTGACCAAGTAATTGGGCCCCTGCCACCATTGTGGGAGACCTGATGGAGTTTCTGGTTCCAGCTTTGGCCTTGCCCAGACCTGGCTGCTGGGGGCATTTTGTGAATGAATCAGTAGATGAAGACTTCTCTTTCCTTTTTGTTCCTCCTTTTTTCCTCCTCCCCCTCCTCCCCTTCTCCTTCTTCCTCTCTTTCTTCTCTTCCTCTTCCCATCTCCCCTTTCCCCTCCTCCATGCTCTGCCTTTCAAATAAATAAATCTTTTCTGAAAAAGGAAAAACAAGGCAAGAAATAGATGTTTTGGAGGTTTGTACACATGTTAAGCTTGTTTTTTTTTTTCCTTTACCCTAAGTTCAACAACAAGAAACATTAAGGGTCTTAAGGCAGAAAATGACCTGATCAGATTTTCATTTTGGAAGTTTGCACAACCTGACATCTCAGGAACAGATTAGACAAAGTCAATAGCAGATATGAGGAGACTAATGTAAGGGAAGCTGGAGTAGCCAAGTCAAGATATAATAACAGGATGAAGTCTTAGGTGGTAATTAGGAAGATGGAGAAAAGTAAACAGATTTATTATATTTAAGACTTAAAATTAGCTGAACTTGGTAATAAAAATAAGAATAATATAATTCCAGATTTTTTGTTTGAAAACTGAATAGAAGCTGTGGTATTTACTGAGATTTTGAGATAATACAAAACAAATAATAACAAAAGCTTGCGGATTAAGATTATTAATTGTTGTTGGATATATTGAAATTGGAGTTCCTTTGTGATTTAAATGTCAATGTCTAATATCTAATCTTGGTTCTGTAGCCCAAAGAGAAAAATAGGGGCAACATAGAAGATATTGTTGACCATACTGAGAGCATTTTTTGGCAGGAAGAAGGAGACTGAATCAAAATTAGAATATTAAGGGGAAAAGGCGGGCTGGCGCTGTAGCTCACTTGGAGTTAATCTTCTGCCTGTGGTGCCGGCATCCCATATGGGGGCCGGGTTCTAGTCCCAGTTGCTCCTCTTCCAGTCCAGCTCTCTGCTGTGGCCCGGTGTGGTGGAATAAGAAATGTGGTGGAATGAGAAGGCCATGCCAAGATGGCTGCTGGCAAGCGAGCATCAGTTGCTCGGGAGTGGCTTTGGAAACCCCCAAAAACCCCTCAGGAAACCACCTGGCAACAGAGCCTGCCTGGCAACAGGCTGTGATTGGATGGCTTCAGATACTGCCTGGCAACAGGCTGTGATTGGTTAGGGCATAGACTGCCTCTTGACTGGATTGGCTGACTTTTTTTTTCTCTTAAGACTTAGAATAGGGCGGGTGCCGCGGCTCAATAGGCTAATCCTCCGCCTAGCGGCGCTGGCACACAGGGTTCTAGTCCCAGTTGGGGCGCCAGATTCTGTCCCGGTTGCCCCTCTTCCAGGCCAGCTCTCTGCTATGGCCCGGGAGTGCAGTGGAGGATGGCCCAGGTGCTTGGGCCCTGCACCCCATGGGAGACCAGGAGAAGCACCTGGCTCCTGCTTTTGGATCAGCGCTGTGCACTGGCCGCAGGCTGTGTCCATTGGAGGGTGAACCAATGGCAAAAAGGAAGAACTTTCTCTGTCTCTCTCTCTCTCACTGTCCACTCTTAGACTATCTCTCACCATTCTCTTCTAGCCTATAGGGTTTTTTATGAGAAGTCAGCTGTGAATCTAATTGGATATCCTATGAAAGTAATCTGGCGTTCCTTTCGTGCACATTTTAGAGTATTTTCTTTATGTTTTACTGTGGAAAGCTTGACTACAATGTGTAATGGTTAAGATCTTTTCTGGTCATGTCTGTGAGGAGTTCTATGTGCTTCCCCTATTTGGATATCCCTTTCTTTCTCCATATTGGGAAAGTTTTCTATAATTATTTCACTAAATAGGCTTTCTTGTCTATTCTCTCTTTCCACACCATCAGAAACTCCTAAGACCTATATGTTGGGTCATTTGAAAGTATCCCATAGTTCTCCAACAGTGTTTTTTTTTTTAATTTATTTTATTTGAAAGGCAGAGAGAGTCAGAGAGAGAGAGAGGGAGGGAGGGAGTCATTTCCATCTGCTGGCTCACTCCCCAAATGGCTGCAATGTCCAGAGCTGAACCAATCTGAAGCCAGAACCCAGGAGCTTCCTCCAAATCTTCCATGTGGGTGCAGGGTCCCAAGGACTTGGGCCATCCTCCACTGCACTCCCAGGCCACAGCAGAGAGCTGGATTGGAAGTAGAAAAGCCAGGACTTGAACCAGCACCCATATGGGATGCTGGTACTGCAAGAGGTAACCTCACCTGCCATGCCACACAGAGCTGGCCCCTCCCACACTGTTTCTAATTTGTTCTTTTTTTATTTTTTTGGTCTGACTGAAAAATTTTCAAAGATTTGTGTTCTAGTTTAGATATTCTTTCTTCTGCCTTACCAAGTCTGCTGTTAAGGCATTCCACTGCATTTTTTATTTGATCTATTGAATCCTTCGTTTCTAGTATTTCATTTTGATTTCTCTTTAAAATCTCAATTTCATGGTAAAAATTTTATTAATGTCATGTGCTGTTTTCTTACATTCGTGAATTTGCTTGGATTGCTTTTCAGTAATCCTATGATTCATTTGTTGCATTCCATTTCTGGCATTTTCTCAATATCTTCATCTTCACATTCTAATATGAAGATGTTGTGTTTCTTTGGTGGTGATGGTCATGGTATCTTCCTTATTCTTGTTTCTTGAGTTTTTGCATTTATTTTAGGCATTTTGGGGAGTTGATTGTTTTTTCTTCTGATGGCTTTTATTTTTGAGCTATTCCTCAGTGGCTTAGTGGAATGTCTTCACTTTCAGTGAATACTAAGAGCTGTGCAGTGGGTGTCACCAGGGAGCAACAACAAGCTCTGAACGTGATTGCCCAGAGACTCAGCTACACCGTGCACCTTCTCATGTAACCACCAAGTCCCCACAGTCTCAGCACACAAGCCTTCCTCAGTCACCAGGTGCAGAGGTTTTGCCCTGTCCTGCCATCGTGTCCAGTTAACAAAGAGGCAGATGTTCCCAGAGCCATCTTACCTAGGCATCTGGATTCTGGGAGGCTGGGTATGCCTAACAGCCCTACATGGATGCCCTGTCATCTCTCTGCAAGGTGCAAAATCAGTGGGGATTGTAGATTTTTCCCTCCACTAGAATCTTTGGATCACATGCATACACAAGAGCCACTGACCAAATGTTGCTCTCTCTGCACCGCTGCTGCTAGTACTTCCAAGAAGGCGTCCTGTCTCTGTGCACATGCACAAAAGCTACCACAGCTGCTACCCAAACCCAAAATGTCTCCTGCCCTTTCTCAGCCAGGCAGCAGGTGCTGTTTTGGGGAAATTGGGGTAAGATAAACATGTCCCTCTATCTCCACTACCTCCGCTGGCAACTCTAGCACCCAGGGCTCCAGTCTGTATTCATGCCATGCTTACCCTTTTGCTATATCACTATGGTTTGCTGCAGTCCAGTCTCACCCCCATATCTAAGCTGCCACCCACTCAGGCTTTGCCAATTGCAGTCATTTGTTGTGTTCACATTTGCTGTATGTCCACACCCTCCACGGCATTCTTCTTCCTTTTGTAGGATTTCCAGTGCAGTTTTCTCTCTAGTTCTCCCCTGAGAGTGCACTTCCTACACTTTTTTTTGGTATTTATTCCTAGTTTAGCAGAGTATGTTATTCCCTAATCCGTGATCTTGGAATCCCCCAACTACACTGATTTTCAGATCTACCATGTTTGGGGTATTTAAAATATGGAAATATGTAGTGCTCTAAGGGCCAACAAGTACCAATAGTATATATTATTTTACAAAAATTTTATTTGTCTCCCCTATGTATTGGACTACAGAATATAAATCTTTTAAAAAATGATTTACAGGATGGGATATTTTGGGGCAGCAGGTCAACCCACTGCTTGGGCTGCCTACATCACATATCAGAATGCCTAGGATCAAGTTCCACATCCACTTCTGATTCAGCCTCCTGCTAATGTGCACTCTGGGAAGGCAACACATAATGGCTCAAGTAGTGAGTCCCTGTTGTCTATATGGGAAACACAGATGGAGTTCTTGGCTCCTAATTTTGACCTGACCTAGCTGTTATGGGCATTTGGAGGATGATCCAATGAATAGAAGATATCTCTCTTTTTCTTCTTTCTCTCTCTCTTTCTACCTTTCAAATGAATACAATTTTTTAAAATAGACTTGCTAGAATGTTCTTTGAAATCTGCCAAAAATTTTAACTATCCTTTCGGAAGAATCTCAGTCCAATTTAAATTAATGTTTCAATCAAAATTAATATTGTTAAAAATTACCCTTATTTTATTAGGAGAGCTGACCAATTAATACAGGAAGATAAAGATGATGTCATACCATACTGCATAGCTGTTGGTGATGTGAGGAAACTTGTTAATTTTTTTATGTCAAGAGGCCAACTTAAAGAAGCTCTGCTAATTGCACAGGTACAACTACATCATTATACATGCCACATATGTTGGTGGGTGGACTTCCAGCAGGGAGAAGATTATGTTGATGGATTCACCTTCATGTGATTGATGACTTGGCATCTGTCTACCTCTCTTGACCTATGCCTCAATATTTCAGTCATACTATCTTTGTTCTAGTCACATTGAACATATTTTAGATCTTTAAGTGTACAAGCATTTTTGAACTCTGAATTTTTCACATGCTGAATGTTATATTTCATGTATTTGGACAGCTTCTTTTTTTAGTAATCACTTACTGGAACCTCATTTTTCTCAAAATAATGTTCTGAAATTATCAATACTATCTAAAGATTAATTAAAGGTTTAATTAAATTCTAGGCAGCATGTGAGGGAAACATGCAAACCTTACACATTTCTACACCTAAAGGAGCTTCATATACTGATGATATCTACAAAGAAGATTTTAATGAGTGAGTGATTTATTCTTTGTTTCTGTTCCATATTTTTTTAAAGATTTTATTTATTTATTTGAGAAGTAGAGTTACAGGTAGTGAGAGGGAGAGAGAGAGAAAGGTCCTCCCTCCGTTGGTTCACTCCCCAAATGGCTGCCATGGCCGGAGCTGCGCCACTTCGAAGCCAGGAAACAGGTGCCCCCTCGGGGTCTCCCATGCGGGTGCAGGGGCCCAAGCACCTGGGCCATCCTCCACTGCCCTTCCAGGCCACAGCAGAGAACTGGACTGGAAGAGGAGCAACCAGGACTAGAACCCAGTGCTCACATGGGATTCTGGTGCCGCAGGCAGAGGATTAACCAAGTGAGCCATGGCACTGGCCCTCAGTTCAATATTTTTTAAGGTTGCTTTCCCTTGATGAGTTTTTGAAGACATGTAGTTCATCTGTCTGTATCCTGAGAACTTGGCTATCTGTGTCCTCCACTGCATTTCTCATTATGATCTAGTTCCATTACAGCATCCATGCCTAGACAAATCAGGAAATAGTTGGCATGTAGACACAGCTACACACATTTCACATAGCTTTCCATAAAAGCAAAATGCATTTCAGTAGAGAAGTTGTTTGTAAATTACCTAAATACTTAAAAACTTACGAATCTGTTGGGGAGGGCATGCAGTGAAAGAAAAAATGTGCTGCTTATTAATGTTTCACTGTAAAGCAAGTAAATATAAAATCATAGTAATGCAGTTTATAAGCCCATGAACCAGGAATCCATGTTTGAAATAACAGTTAGTTCCCATCTAAAGAAGAAACTTATTTATTGTAAAAAACCTATAGACATTAGAATTTTTCAGCCTTCCAACCCTTTTTAAATATCTGACAGCCTACCGTCTACTTACTGTTAGTTCCACTTAATGCCCTAGAAATTGGATATTTAAACTTCTAGGACACTCATCAATTATGTTAAACAAATGTTAAACAAATAACATGGTGGGAATATGTATCCCTTCCTGGATCTTTGCTGCTATTCTCTGTCATTTCTAAATGTGGCACTGTAAATATCCACTACATTAGTAATATCTTGATTCCAACTGAATTTTGAAAAATTTCAGCTCAACCTATTTTTCTTCTAAGGTTATCACCTCTGTAGCTGAGCCATAATTATCCAATGAGAAATAGGAAGTTTTGAAAGCCAGGCTTTTCTTCTGACACTTTATAGGAGCCAGACATAAAGGGAAGCTTCTCAGATCACGTATTTGGGAAGACGGCTTCCCTGATTTATTTTTTCTGAAAAATAGGGTTTTAAGGACCAGTGTTGTGGCTAAGCCTCCGCCTGTAATGCAGGCATCCCATATGGGCTCTGGTTTGTGTCCCAGCTTCTCCTTTTCCGGCCCAGCTCTCTGATAGAAAGCAGTAAAAGATGGCCCAAGTGCTTGGGCCCCTGTACCCGTGTGGGAGACCCAGAGGAAGCTCCTGGCTCCTGACTTCAGATCCTCTCAGTTCCGGCCAATGGCGGCCATTTGGGGAGTGAAGCAGAGGAAGGAAAATTTTTTTTTCTGTCTCTCCCTCTCTCTGTCTGTAACTCTACCTCTCAAATAAATAAATAAAATTCTTTAAAAAAATAAGGCCTTGTACTAAATCAAGGTTGTCTAATTAAATTCTATTTAATCCTTTATTCACCATGAAGAAAGGGCATTGGTTCACTTTTGTGATGGAATTCTTGTGTTTATATAGAATATCTGTTCTTTTCTTTCTAGACTCCTGCACAAAGTCAGTAAGGAACTTGCAGAGTGGTATTTTCAGGATGGTCGAGCAGTACTAGCCGCATGTTGCCATCTAGCTGTAGATGATATTGAGGTACAACATTCAAATTGGCATATATATTTTAGCGATTCCATAGTGTTTAGGGAGATATGGTAACTTCATAAAATCTAGTTTTGCATTTTTCCAAGCCTGAGTAATAGCATCCCTAATAAGCACATATACAGACTGTGAAATCTTTTTTATCGTAATATTAATATTTATAACAACATCCTTTAAATATTTTATTATGTATTAAAAGTGGTAGTGTGGTGAAGGGAAGATTAACTGAACTTGGACTCAAAAGATCTGACTTTGAGTCTTGTTTCACATACTGACTTTGGTATGTCATTTTAGCTCTTGAAGTCTCAAAAAAATAGACATATGAATAACTGTTTTACCTTATCCACATATACTTGTTAGGTTATACAAATACAAATTAAAGCACTCATTTTTGTGTATATTTTTATATATTACTAACAAATTTTATTTTAAGGTACTTGCCATTTGACTCATTCATGTAATAGGGAAAATATTAAGCTAAAAATTCCATTTTACATTTATCCTTAGGTAGATTTACTTTAGAGAATAATTGGTGATTGTAATATATTTTTTCTTTTTCTTTCTTTATTGATTACTTAAATTTTTATTAAAATAAAGAAAGCAGATTTCATGTAGTTCCTGTGGTGTATAATCTTGAAGAGTCTTTTAAGAATGTTTGTGTTCTTCTGATAGGATCATTAAAGGATGTGTTGAGGATATTGCTGTGTTACTACTTAATTACAAAAGTAGGACCAAGAGTTCTGAATTCTTATATTCTGACCTGATGAAATTTCCTGTATTCTGTTATCACTTTTCCATGTGAAAATTTCAATTACTCATTCATAAGTACTTTATAGGAATGTTACAATCAATATTTTATAAGAATAATTGATTTATAGGTTAATGCTACTTTATCTACTTTATGAGCTTGGAGGGGAATGATGATCCTACCCTGCATCTATGCAACTGAAGAAATTATTTTCTTATTGAGCAAGCTTGCTATGGCATACCTGATTCGTGGAAATGAACTGGAGTTGGCAGTCTGTGTGGGCACAGTACTAGGAGAGTCTGCAGCACCAGCAACACACTATGCCCTAGAATTATTGGCACGAAAATGCATGATGATTTCAACATGGTAAGAATTGCTAAACTCAAAGAAAATTGTAAACTACATTTGATAAGATATGTGTTGGGAGACTATAGGATCTCCTTTTTCGTGAATGATAAGATTGATAAGATCGGCCGGCGCCGCGGCTCACTAGGCTAATCCTCCGCCTAGCGGCGCCGGCACACCGGGTTCTAGTCCCGGTCGGGGCGCCGGATTTTGTCCCGGTTACCCCTCTTCCAGGCCAGCTCTCTGCTGTGGCCAGGGAGTGCAGTGGAGGATGGCCCAGGTGCTTGGGCCCTGCACCCCATGGGAGACCAGGAAAAGCACCTGGCTCCTGGCTCCTGCCATCGGATCAGCGCGGTGCGCTGGCCGCAGCGCGCCAACCGCGGCGGCCATTGGAGGGTGAACCAACGGCAAAGGAAGACCTTTCTCTCTGTCTCTCTCTCTCACTGTCCACTCTGCCTGTCAAAAAAAAAAAAAAAAAGATTCATTTTCGATTATCTTAATATACAGAAGATCAGCTTAGTATACCTTAAGTAAGGATTTCAACAGTTTGCTCCCACACAGAAACATAAAGTGAAAAATAATAGATGATTTTTTTTAAATGATGATGAAATCAGATCAGACCTATTGTCATGTTTAATCCCAGTGAGAGTCAAGTTGGGAATTGATAATTTTTTTTTTTTTTTACAGAAGATCAGTTTAGTGTACATTAAGTAAAGATTTCAATCGTTTGCACCCCCATAGAAACACAAAGTGAAATATACTGT